GCCACTGGGCCGCTCCCCGCAATGGGGAGGGGCGTGATGACACCTGGCCGCCAACGTCATCTTTCCCCTGCTACAGCTGGCGTTTTATGGTACCTGCTCGTGTTTTGTACATGGGCACATGAACAAGTACTTGTGAGAGGACTCTGAGAGGCTTGGTTAGGCGAGAGTGTACAGCAAATGCGACCCATTGTTGCTTTCTTGGCAACAACGACGATCGCGCGTCTCACTTCATTGGGTGGCTATTAATTCGTTTGCTGCATGTTTTTGAGTTTGCGACACAGTGGGTTAATCTTCTGTGGTTGTTTCTGTTGGGCTCTTGCCCCTTTCGCTGTTTTCTTTGCTGTCCTTGTGATGGTGAGACGCAAATCTGGCTGGGGGATCTGCGTCTTGCCCTTTGGTTGTGGTGTTTTGTGTTTGGTGGTCATGATTTGCCAATTCGCATGCGACCACCTGTGTCCATGTTGAAGTTTTCTCGATAATAGCTTATTCTCATGTAAGGACCGAGCCTTAGAGCGTGATCGGCCAAACCGGAGAAAAAAAAAATGTGCGCTTTCAGGTTCCATTTTTTTGGGGCCAGAAAGTCCATTGAAATCAGGCTTCGCGTTTGCGGGCCTCCTCTGTTCCAACTCTACATGCTTGTTGCTCAACTAAACGCAGTTGTCATTTTTTGTTTGTTGCACGGGTCTTTGCTGTTTTTGCGATTTTGCGGTCTCATTTTTGGTCCCCCAGAAGGTTCCAAAAATGGGATTATTGTTCTTTTACTGAGCTGTGCATGCGGTCCCAAAAATGGGACCACCAGGCGGTCCCATTTTTGGGATCGTGTTTAGGTTCATTTTTTTGTATCAAGTTGCAGAAGCGCAACGTTTTGGTTTCAATGAAGCTTTGTGGCTTATGGCGACCGGAAGGGCAACTGAGGCACTGTAATCAAAAAGATCCGTGGAATGGCTGAGCTGCTTGGGGCTCAAATTTTTCTCGAGGCAATGAGGGAAACGCGTGATGGTAGGCCACGCGAGCAACAGGTCAATGGAGATAGGTACACTGGAGCATATTATCGTCATCGATGCCTCTTTTGATCCTTTTATGTATATTCTCTTTCTCTCTCTCTATGCTAGATACATACCTGTAGGAACCTTCCTGTCTTCATTATTCTATTTGGTAGGTATGTATTTGTGTGCAACTTGCTATTATGAATCCTTTTCGTTTGCTTGGCTCCATCTCAAAGCCACCAATGCACGTAACAGTCTCTGACTCGGTTTCAAGATGATCCCTTGCATTTCACATGGAGCTTCCAAACCTAATGGCAAGTGACACATGTTCCAAGATAGAAGCAACGCTCTGGAGGTATGAACGCAAGAAATTGCAAGAAACATCAGGTCTTAGAGCAGAACTCTTTGGTCTGTGTGAAAAAACGTTTGTGTGTGTAAAAGGGTCTGTGTGTAAAAGTGTCTGTGTGTAAAAGGGTCTGTGTGTAAAAGCATTTCTGTGTAAAGATGTTTGTGTGTAAAAGGGTATGTGTGAAAAAAACGTCTGTGTGTAAAGGCGTCTGTGTGTAAAAGTGTTTCTGTGTAAAGCTGTTTGTGTGTAAAAGGGTCTGTGTGTAAAAGTGTTTGTGTGCAAAAGTGTCTGTGTGTAAAAGGGTCTGTGTGCAAAAGCGTGTGTGTGCGTAAAAGGGTCCGTGTGTAAAAAGGTCTGTGTGTAAAAGTGTCTGTGTGTAAAAAGGTCTGTGTGTAAAACCATTTCTGTGTAAAGATGTTTGTGTGTAAAAGGGTCTGTGTGTAAAAACGTCTGTGTGTCAAGGCGTCTGTGTGTAAAAGGACCTGTGTGTAAAAGGGTCTGTGTGCTGTGTGTAAAAACGTCGCTGTGTGAAGCTGTTTGTGTGTAAAGGCGTTGTGACAAAAGTGTTTCTGTGTTAAGATGTTTGTGTGTAAAAGGGTCTGTGTGTAAAAGTGTCTGTGTGTAAACGTGTCTGTGTGTAAAAGGGTCTGTGTGAAAAAACGTGTGTTTGTGTAAAAGGGTCTGCGTGTAAAAACGTCTCTGTCTAAATATGTTTGTGTGTGAAACCCTTGATTGGGTCGTTTGATCCTTCATTCTTTTGCTATGCATGGGGCGTATAAAAACTATCTCCAACCACCTTGAAACACCAAGGTTTGGAAGATTCGCCATGCAATATTTCTGGGATAATCCTCCAAGCCGCAACAACAGGATTGGTTGCTGTTGGTGAAACGGCCAGCAGCGAAAAATTGATCTATGTGGTCCACAGCTCTCAGATGCAACACACAGAGCATAAAGCGCAAAAAAAAAAACGCCGCCTGAGCATTTGTTTGGAGGCTGGCTTTCACCCCCCCCTTCTCAGGTCAAAAACGATCTTTGGAGAGTGTCTGCAGATGATTTTCATTTCACGTTTACATGATCGAAATTCGATGTGTCATGTTTTTCTGAATTCAAACTTCAAATGAAACATGGCAACAAGTGCTGCACAGGACATGTTTGACAGGACATGTTTGACATGACATGTTCGACATGACATTCACATTTTACATCAGTCAATTGACATGCAACACACATGGCATGCATGACAACTTTCATGACAAACATGTCAAATTCACTTGTCAGAATCCGATTTTTTCGTGGCAATACATACCAATCACCCCAATCGAAAAACAGAGCTGAACGGTCCGGGAGGATGCGATGTGGAACATTATTGAGCATTATTGGCACGACAGATGTTGATCACAAGTTCTCTTGAATCACTGCAGCAGATGGACCAAGAACATAATAACATATAATAACGTAGTATTACCATAGTATCCAGTTCATGTTGGAATATGAAGGGTACTCCCACACCCCAATCCCAGCCCATCACATGCCCGTACATCCACTACGGAAAATTGTACGTGAATGCACGGCTTCCACGTGGCGCTCTCACGAATCAGAAGAAAAAACATGAATAGCCTCAACGTTTAACTTTGTTTTTTTTTGTGAGTCATTTCAGTTCCAAAACCTTCCTGGCATAGCATTCAAAATTGCATTTTTGTTGGTTGCAAATTCATGTTTTGGTGGGCGTTCATGGTTCGATTCCACTGGTAGACATCGTGAAAAATATTGTACCCAATTGTTTTGTCAAAGCCAACAACTATGCGAATGGTTTCACAATCTTAGCACCAAACATAAATTATATACAAACAAACATTAAAATCTTGCATGTTGGGAACATCACAGCATGACAAGTGCAGGCCATCTTCTCAACACTGTGAATGGATGTGAATGGTTTGAAGAACATCAGGTGCCAATTTTGCGATATTTTTGGCTCTTCGGCCGTGTTCCAGTTGGGGTTTCATTGTTTTCTGCTATTGTAGTCCTAATCTGGTTTGCAAGATGAATATGTGGGAAATACATTTCCACAATACAATTTAGGATATGGTGTTTGATATGCATACATGGCCATAATTAATTTCAAATTCAGATCAATTCATGGGGATACTTTAGGTGCCTCAACTCGTTCAAATGCACCACAATTTTGCAACACATGCGCAATTCACGAAATTGTTTTGGACTGGACTGTACATAAGGTTCTGTGTCACAGTCGTCATGTCGGCGTATCTCTGTGGCAGCCGGGCAACCCAACGTTGGGGCGAGTGGTATGTGATGATGCATTTTGATTTGTGATACTTTGCAAGTCACTTCTGGCTGATCAAAATGCCACGGTGTGCAGACAATGCTGGTTGTTCCCATATTCACCAAGGAAATGCATGTTTTAATTTGGGTATGTCAGTGTTAACGCAAAAAAATTGAATATTGTACACCAAAAGGACACCTGCCATGATCAGAAATTGTATACTTCTGGCTGCATGATGCAGAAAACAAGTAGTTTCATCCAATTGGTGTTTTGGTCGCTGAAACTAAAGATCGGCAGTGGTCCAAAGAATGGAAAAACACGATACAGTTCTATGGGTGAATGGTTGGGATTCCAGGTTTTTTACCCGTAACCAACCTCTACGTTTGAAAAACATGATACCCTTTGGATGGCGTCCATCCTTTTATCTTTGCCACGGCCGCAGCTTCCGCAACAATTTCACGGTCTCCGCAAAGGCAGCTGGACGGTAATGGGACGTGTTGCGAAGTGATATGTCGTGGTTTTGTTTGGTTCTGAATTGTGGCCAAAACATTTGGTCCAGGTGGTTCAGTCATACATTTGGGCAAAAATGAAGGATTCAATTTTGGCCGGATGGATTGTGTCATTATATTGTTTTGTGTTTCAGAGACAATATAGGTATTCAGAGTCGGAGTGTTTTTCGGGACAAAAATTACCCACAGGTTTGAAATCATCAATCAATGCAGAAACTTGTGCGTGTTTTCGTTGTGTTTTCGTTGTGAACACAAAAACAACGAACGGTATTCTGTTGTGAACTTGTGTTTCTTTTGGGAACCCCCAAAAATCATCAAAAATCACCACCAGATCTCTGGGACGAAACCAGGCATCACCATAAAAGTCGAGCATGGCGGAGGCATATGGGATCTGCATGACTGCTCTGGCAACACTTAGGGAGGGCTCAAAGCGAAGGTCAAACAACTTTTCAATCTGATCACTCTTGGTAAAGGTGTAAAGGTGAATACAGTATGAATACGACTGTGAGCCACAGTCGTTGAAAATTTCTCATCGGTTTCACTGCGAACATGATTCGAAAGATTTGCTGGGGCCTTCGTGAGAGACAACGGCTTGGTGCATGACAAAGAGGACCCACTTGCCAACTTCGGCTGAGCTGTGGAGTTGAAATACATTAGCACCTAGTAGTCCATGTCTACTAGTTACTAATAGAATCTAATATACATTAATACTTATGTAGATATGATAAATCACAGAGGAATAAGTGAAATCGTGTTTGTAGAATTTGATTGCTGTGCACATCACATTGCTTCGCATTTGCCTTGTGGTTCAAGTTGAGTGCCAGGTCCCCGCTCTTAGTTGCTGCGCACCGCAGAAAACTTTGTGTCCCGGGATAATGCAGAACCCAGGACAGCAGGTGAGTCAGCTTGCACACCAGAACTCCGTCAGTACTTTGCTGGCACGAGTTCGTGCACGCAGTGCCGGGACACCAATGCCGTACGCCGCACAGGGTCCTGTTGAGAACTCAGAATCCGGCAGAGGACCTGAGGGTGAGGGAAAGACCAGGGTTTTTCAGGGTTGGAATTGGGAATGTCTAAGATTTCTGCTTTGATGGGCAGTGACTTGCATTGATTTCAAGGCACCTTTGGTCTGTTTTTTTGGCATTGCAGATGTAGGATGCTTTCCGGCTATGATCATTGCTCAAGTGTGCTTGACTTTTGTTCGGCTTATGTGCTTTGCCGGCAGGATACACCCTTGGCAGGGAGTACCCCACGATGGGTCATGGCGACATGTTCTCGGGCATCGTGACGCCTGTTGCCCTGAGCTTGACTTTCTGCATCATGGTCGGTAAGACCCTCGCCAAGTGATTCTGTTTCGCATCTGAGCCAGGCAACTCAGTCTTGGCCTTTGACATCAGATGTTTCTTGAAGTTCATGTACAGTTATTCCCTTGAGCCCACGGAACCAGGTCCCTGACCCGCTGTTGTGGTCCAGAGGGTGAACAAAGGTTCAGGTTTGTTGCTGCCCACGTTGGCAACAGACTGACATCCCAAAACAGCAACGCTCAACCCAGCGGAAAGTGAACGCTGTTCCGATCGTCCTTCTGTTGTGCCCTTGCGGGCTAAAGTATGACAAGAACAGGTAGACTGCTGCAAGAGCATTTGTGGGTTTGCTGAGGTCAAACAGGAAACCTTGATTGCTTTTCAGTGAAATGAGGGTTCATTACTGTAAACTGTAATCATATCTGTGGCCAAGAAGTCTACACTTTCCTTAACATGCCCTGCTCCACACGCCCCAAGCCGATTTGCTATTGCTTCCAGGCCATTGATTGTTAGCTTGCTTGCAGGTGCAGGCACAGCGGCTCCAAGATCGATTTGAGTTTGTCGAGGAATGTATAAGCATGGGAGATATCCTATTTCTTGGCAGTTTTTATGAGGAAACCAGAACATAATTTCATGATAACATGCATGATATTTTGGGTATGTGAGTATTTTATGTTCACACACACTTCTTTTGGTTCAGTTGAACATCAACCCAGCAAGCTCGGGTTTCACCTTGGTGGCCACTCTAGTGGCCGTACGTGTTCTGAAATTGATGTACCCAACAGAGTCGTGATCGAAGGATGCTTGAATCAAACTGTAACAGAAAGGAGCAGGTAGGTAGAAATCAAACAAGTATGCAGATCACTTGAGTTGCAGTGCAGAAGTAAACTATAGTAAACTTCAACAATGTAGAGGAGCGCAATCAACAGCAACATACCAGCTTCCACCTTGCTCTCGTATCAGACAATTTTGGACTGTCTAACAGTGTCTTGCATCTCGCCTGATCTTTGATCCTGGTTGCAAAGGTCACAAGACTGCAGATAGTGGCTAGATGTGGAGCCAAGTCTTAGCAGTGTGGCTGGTAGACAGAGAGCAGGATCCATGATAGGGGCTTGAAGGCCGAAACTATGTGGCCGTGTCTGAAAATGTGGGATTAACCGATTAACCTTCACATGGCCACATTTTGAAATGGAAAATCATGAATAAACTGACTAGCCATCAAATCTTGCGGTACCTTATTTTCAGACAATTCCATGCAGCACACTCTCTTTGGAGTCTGGAGTGTAAGATGTGACCATCAGGAGAAGTTATGAGTTACTGTAGGATATGTATGACTACGTTATGACCATCCCACAGCTTCTGTTTCGCTGGATGCTCGCAAATGTTGGACGCAATCACCGGGCCCGTCTCGGGGCCGAAGCGCAGTAGAAGTGCCAGCGATTTGGAAACCGTGAAGGACATCCTGTGCAACAAATAGCCTCGGGACTTGGGCACTATCGAGGCCACAAATGACATCAAAAGAATATGATTATAAATATTATAATATATATATAATATATGATGGTATTTTTGGAGATGCAGGACCTGTCAGAGCCGTTTTTGGGTACATCTTGAGATTGGCATTTGGTACCTTTTTTTAGCATAGATCATCTATTAGGCTCCGGGCATACGGCCATAGTGAGGATCCCCAGCGATATCCAATAGTTTGCAGGGCGTTGCAAAACGCTCAGGATCTGAGAATTTTGGCAGAGAAAGAAGTTGTTTCGCTGGGTCTGAGTGTTTGTGTAGGAGAACCGGATTCTACACACTGAGAAGATCAAGCAGGAAGAGCTACTTGTCCTTAAAAATGGCTGTGTGGAAAGTGATGGGTGAAAGATTCCTGTGAGTTTCACCATCGAGCTCTTGAAAGCATAAGTTCTACGTCCCAAAGAAGCAAAACACAGATCCACAGATCCATGTGACATCAATCCTCTGACCATGTAAGAGGTTGTTTACTATCATTTTCGATTTCCCCATATATTTCCATATTTTGGCCATAAATTGGGAGTTCATCCATTTGTTCATCCCATTCTGCGACCCATCAGGTTGCCGTTTACTCCAAGACGTTTCCAACAGATCAAGGCCAATTGCTTGAAGGTGCAAGAGGCCGCCCCACCTGGGCCATCCTGGGCCATCCTGGGCCACTTCGACATATTGTTCACGGGTCAAACATGTATTGGATCAAATTTTTATCAGATTGGATTGGTTCATTAACAAAAAGATTATAAAACCAAACAGTAATGAAACTTAAGCTTTAATCGGGGATGGTTTATACACCACGCAGTTCTGGTCAAAATTGCGCCTGTTTCTTTTGAGTTAAGCCCAATTTTTCGGTGATTATCCTCTCCAACCAGATAGTTATCAAAATCCGATTTTTCATTGGATCAGTTCAATCCCCATATTAAACCCCTAGGTATGACCCACAATTATGATGTAACCATCAACAAATTTCCCGATCCCTCCGAAAAATCACATCTCATAAATGTCATAAACTATGAAAAACTGATATGATTAATACACAAAAATGGGGTTCTCAGTCCATTTCCAGGAGATTGATGCCCAGCTTCGACTGCTGAAGCCCAAGCGTCCCGTGCGCCTCAGCGCCGGCGCTGCGAACGGCGGCTCCCGAAGCGGGTCGCCCCTGCGGCGGCGTCCGCAGACGCCGAAGGTGGGAACTCTGCAGGAGCTGAGCGAAACGGCTGTGAATTGGTTAGCGAATAGGCATTTTCAGAATCGAACATGATGAGTCTTTGAGTTTTAACGATTATTTTGTGTTTTGAATCTGATGAAAAATGGTGAGCCAATATAGGTTGATGAGAGGGGCTTATATATCTAGCGCGAGTATTGGGGATGAACTGATAATGAAAATCCAGTCGATTGGAAGCGTCGGGTGTCTTCATTGATAAAGTTGGCACTCATGGAATATCACAGAGCCATCCAGCACTTTGTGATACCCCGAAAATCAAAGTTGCTCTTGAAAGGTCAAACCTTTCCACTTCTTTTTGCAAGCAGCCAGGGGCTATGTGCAAAAGCCCGCAGCCACAGGACCGTCTCCGACTGAAGATCGCCCAGTGCCGTTCCCAGCCTGAACTGGTTTCAAACACAGCTTCCAAGCCGTCGCTGAGTAACTCGCGATCCGTGGCGCTAGAGTTGGAACGAGAACTGGGGAAGGGACCGCTGAAGCCACAGGTGGGATGGGATTGGGATCAGCGTGGGTTCAGCCGCGCCTGAGTTTCTTGCCATGACATCAGTAAACCCTGGTGACTTGCAGAACTTCCGTCATTTCACTGCAGAGCATTATAGGAGATGATAGAATTTGATAGATCATGGGCCCTGTCGCAGCCAACTCGTAGGGCTTTTCTCCAGGATGTGGCACGTTTCTGCGAGAAGCGGGAACGCCGGCTGGCAGCGCAAGAGGCTGCACTGTCACGGCCCAGTTCCGCCACGAACTTTGTGCGTCGAAATCGCTCGGGCTGTTTGGATTTCATGGCACGACGCGAAGTGCAGCTGGAAATGCAAAATCTGAGGCTTGACAGATGGAGGGGGGCTAAGTTGCACTGATGGAAATATCAGGGTGTTTGCATAGATTTATTTGGCTCTCCAAAAATGGCGTTGTGTGTAGTTGAACAGTTAGGTAAAAGTCCCATTAGGGAGAGAATATCAGAAGCTTATTGGAGATGATGTCATGCACCTCCCCGGGGTGATATCGGCATGTCACTTTTCTCCAGTATCAATGGAACATTTGAACATCCCTTCATTATCCTCCATTTATGTCTTGTTCCTATCACTGTTTTGTTTCTTTCCCATTTTTGTTGGAACCTGAGTTGACTTGTCAGGCGCTGTGTGCGCGCTGACATGGCCAAAAGGAAGCGCTTGGCAGATTTGGAAGCGATGCATCAAGCAGCGGCGGAAGATTATTGGACGCTTGGAGCGATCGAAGTGGCGACCCATACCCCAGTGGGGCTCAAGATCATTTCCAAAGAATGGATGCAAATCTTATAGCGACAGGGTGCCAGAGTGCTTCTTTTTCCAGCTGTGTCCGAGGAATCGCTTCTTTAAAGAGGAGAGTATGAGCCACAGATCGCAAGGCTTGAATGATGCACCACAGCATGAAGATCCAAAGGAGGAGTTGAGCGAAGAAGTGCGAGTGAAGCAGGCACGGGTCTGTCGTTGGGTCATCCAGCAATAGAGGGCCCTGCCACTGATTGCAGGAGAAAGTGAAAAACTGATACAAGGTGGTGCCCCATAGTTAGCTAAGTTGGTTTATAACTCCAATAACTATGGTTTATGGCAGATATAACTATAGTTAATGGGGTTTATAAACCAACTTATAACTGAGGGGCACCATCCTGTAGGGTCCAAAGGTTTTTGGTGCTCTTTGTGCTGCTTGTCGCCATGCAGGCCTTGGAAAATCTGGGAAAATTCATGCCGAGCAAAGTGATGAAGCTCTTCACTCGAGCCTTGACTTTGAGATTTCTCCAGTTTCAGCTTTGGATCCAGTCAAGTCACAGAGCTGACAGATCATCCAAGGTAGCTGGTCTTTTTCACTATTTTCAAATGGGAAACTGGACCAGAAACATCAGAAACTCTGTCTTTTCGAACAAACTCCAGAAACCTGGTCCATGTGGCTCTACTTCGGCCTAGGACTCTTTGATTACGAGCAGCTTTGTCAAATTTTCAGTGGGGGCCTGGTGGAGCACATGGCAATGTCTTGCAGGCAGCTGATCGCCTTATATGTGCTCTACAATCACTTTGAATTTGGTTTTGATCTATATTCCGCTATATTGTCCATATCAATTACTAATTTATAATATGCCACTATAGACTATAATAGTCTAGCTGTATTAGTAGTGTTTCAGCTATATTGGCACATATTAGCACGGCTTTATTCCTGTTTTGCCTCCGCTTTCGGAGCATTGAAGCCTGCCGCGAGAGGCTCTATGCCTTGGTTCGCCGGCTCATCCACTGGTCGCGGGTGTGGAAGCGACACAAAGCTGCTGACCTCTGGCGGATGAGGATTTAAACAACCAATGATGGGGATGTGATGGAGATTTTCCAAGAAATTGTTGTTGGTAAACAAAAAAACCTATACATTTCTATATCCCACTGTCATTCAGCAACAAGAAAGTGGAATATATCCACCAATCATGAGGAGAGAAATGTCAAGTATGTCAAGTATCTTAAATATGTTAAACTCTTAAACATGTGAAGTATATTAAGTATAGTATCCTAAGTATGTTGAGTATGTTAAGCATGGCAAGCACGTTATATATGTTGAGTTCAGTATGTTAAGTATGTCAAGTATTTTGCATGGCGGATACTCTTTGCATGTTAGACTCACATCTTGTCTTGCGCAAATCTTGGCCGTAGTACCTTCCTTGCCTCTCATGTATTCCCGGCCAGTGACACAAATCCGACAGCGACTTCAAGCTTTCCAGGGAGTAGCAAACAGCAGCGCAACGCATCTATCTTTTTACACAACAAGATTGGACGGCCAGCTGAATCCGAAACCTGAGGATGTGGTGCGTGGCTTGATGAAGATACGCCCACCTTTGGGATACCGAATAAAGATGCCGATGCAACGCTATTGTAATCGCCTGCGGGGGTTTCAACGGACTTGGAGGTGTCGCGGCAGTGCTTGCAGAGCTGCAACATGAATCTTCACGGTTTGGAGGGTTCTCAAAGCAGCGTAGAAATAGACATCTTGGGCCGGCCCAGTTTCATTTCAGAAGACTCAGTAGATCTTTCCGAGAGGAAGTGGAGAGTGGTTGGCCACTCAGTGGCGTGATGGAGATCTGAAATTCGCATGAAAAAACAACTTGATGTCAGTGAACTTTTGGGTCACATTTGTTTGAATCGATATATCCGAGATCCTGCAGGAAGTTCCAGTGGCGTTTGAAGTCCATGATCAAACACATCTATGAGAAGATGTGGTTCCGCCAGGAGTCCGCTGGCATTCCATGTGGGGGGAATGGGCTGCTGTTTTTTTCTGAATGGTTTGGATTTCGACCTTGGAAACCATTGGAACCCAGCTACTGCTTCAGAAGCTGGATCACAAAAGCTTAGAGGATTTTGAGGCAGGAATTGTGAGACTTCAATGCACTTACTCTGTATATCTATACAGTCTATACACGTTTGATCACGTTTGCACATGTGTGACAGCAGAAATTGCCAAGGAATGAGTTTCTGGACGATGTCTTCATGTTCTGCCCAGGGGACCTCCAGACCATAGTCACCTGCCCAGAGTTGCTGGGGCAGGAGCCTGACACCTATAACCTGCCCAGCAAGGACCACGGCATCCAAGCTGGAACCTTTAATTTGAGACTTTTGAGTACTTTAGAAGGCAAACGCTTCAACAATGTCGCGATCCTTCAGAGATTTTCACTCCGAGATCGTACTCAACTTGATGGGAGCCTTTGCAGCAAACATTTGCGCGGCCATTGCAGGACCATCGGAAGACTTCAGCGCCTATACTATTCGGGAGGCAGGTCAACGCAGGAACAGAGATCTGAGAGATCTGTAAAAGGATCATGACAAAGTAGTGACATGAAAGGTTTTGACATGAAAGAGCAGCTCTAAGTTTGAAGCTTTTGACTGCTTGGTGCGCAGTTGGCCTAGCTCCGCATTGCCCCAGGTCTAAACCAAACAAACGAGGAGCGGCTGGTTGGGGGATGTTCATGGGAGGCTTGTGGTCAAGGGGCCAACAGAATTGCTGGGAGTTTGCAGCACTTGCTGATTCACCAGGCTGCTTGGTAGTTTCGCCACTTATGCACCTGTAACATTCCAAGGTACACATTGATTCTACCAGTACCTGCAGATGCGTTTTGTTTTCACCCCATTTCCGTGGATACGCGTCAGGAGGCATGGGTACAGAAGGTATGATGAAACAGTTGCTGGGCTTGATGTTTTAGTCCTAAATGCATGGTGTGGACCAAGATTCATGAAGATGGCAGCATGCCCAGCCTGAACTAAACAGTTAGCTAAGAAAGAATGGCCCAGCCGTGACTGCAAGCTGCGCATCAAATGGCGTGGCACTAAAGGGACACCTATAACTCTGAAATCAAGTCTATACCTGACTCATGATCTTCGATTAATAATGGAAAGTACAAACCATGGAGGGGGTTCAACTTGCTTGCACTGACAGACTAAAACTCATTGTTACTGTCACAGTTTATTGGAGGGTAGTGCATCACAATGAACAGTTACTTGAACGCTTGGTGAAGATCTTAAGACAAACGTTGTTTCTGAACGGTGATAGCAAGGCGCAAGTAATCCACTTTCTGATCATTTGGGAGTCGGCAAGGCCGTTAAAAGTGTGGCATTCTGAGGCTTTTGCTGGATGCCTTCAGCCACAAGAAGCACCTTGTTTGGACATTTATTCCTTTTGATATTTGGGTAGCTGTGGGAATGGGGAAACTAGGAGATTGTTTTTGAGGGGCAAGAGATACCCACAGGTGTGCAGCTGTTCATTGAGATTTTACAGATTTCCGCACAGCTATGAGGCATAGCGGGTCATAAAGCCACATAAGGTCGTGATTTTCCCCACAAACCGCAGACATCACACACCAAGGAGAGAGCACCAGTTTCGGCCGGACGTAGCTAGGGCAGCATGCAGCAGGGCTGCTGGGGGGGATCCGAAACTCCTCATTTTCCAAGACACTGTAGGAGGATCTAAAGGGCTCTTAATGAATGAAGAAAGCTCATGGAAAATCTCCGGATTGAGTATATAGTACATTGGTTGTGACATTCCCAGATATAGGCCTTGCTGCCAGGCTTTTGGTAAGTGCCTTTTGAGAACAGGAATCATATGCCTGGAGGATGTGCGATGACTTGGCTTCCCAGCTTCTTCAGGTTGATGATTGATGAAATGCTTGCCATTCCGTGGAATGCGAATTGCAGTGAGCATTTTGGATCACACATCACACATGAATAGCAACCTCAAGTGTGATAACATGGAAACATAATAGCATACATCTTTCAGAAAGAAATGCGATGACATGGGAGATGTCTTTGCTCCATCCTTGGTGTTGAAACAGAGCAGATGTGAAAATCCGTGGCGCCAATTCATCGCCTGAGGTCGCCAAAGCGATCATCACCCGCGAGTTGTTGGAGCGTTTGTATCTGCATGCCCAGCGCCTGCCTGTTGGAGCAGCTTGGCAGTGTCACTCCTCCGGTCCTTCGAAATTTGAAATCGATCCACTACTTCCCGCGCTTTCCACAGATCCAAGATTGATCTCCTATGGGTTCAAATTTCAAACCCTCAGACCCTCAGACCCACAGACTCTAGTCTTTTTGAGTTTAAAAAATGTTACTGTAAATCAATCTGTGTATGTATGTATATATATATATATATACATATTTATATATTTGATATATTTGATATTAAAAAAAAAACATCCAAATGTCGACACAATGTACTGCTGGGTCCCAGTTGGCATCGGTCCCAAGGTGAGCCGCTCCAAGGAGCTTCGAAGGACCCCCAGTGGCATCACCTACGGCTTCCCCAGTGCCGTGGTGCTCAGACGGCGCCTATTCTGCATCTTCTGGTGGAATTTGTTGGGCAAAAAATCATGGAGAAAACGATAACTACCCAATTTTTTCGCACAATTCGAATATGGAAAATCATGATAAGCAGCTGGATTTTGGGGTTTAGCCATGAAAATATTTGAGAAGCTGATGAAAAAGGCAACTGGATGTAGTGTAGTGGTGTACCTGAGTTTTGGGCATGTCCACTTTGTGGTGTTGGAAAGATTCACAGCAGCCAGCAGCCAGCAGATTAGCGATGGCAGGGCTACATTATGCTGCACTGCTTCTCTGAGTTTTGACTCTCAGGAAAGATGTGGACGAATTGATCTGCAGCGCTCATCAAGCATGCGGCGTGACCTGGAGCACCTGCGCTTTGTTGAAAGGTTTGACTCTTGCACCCTCACTCGTCAAAAAAATCTTTCCATCTTGGCATATTTCCAACCCTTCCAGAAGCTGACCCGGTCCCTACATTTCATGGCCTGCCATGGGTGTGGTCCACGCCGTCATGCCCAGGTGAGACCGACGCAAGAAGAACAGTGCGATCAGATTTTGCCCTGTCCGGCTTGGCGTGTGAAGGCAGCCAAGTTCCTTGCTGTCCGGTTGGGACTGTTGGGCTGTGACTGGAACTTTGGGTCTATATTTCATAGATTTTGCGTCGATAATATTCTGTTCAACATAATAGACAGAACGGTGCAACAACCAAAAAATCTGAGATGTATAAACTTAATTCATGTATTGGATGGTGAAATTCACGGAACTGAGATTGTGATTTTAGAATTCAGTGTGTTCTTTTACATCCACCAAATCCTAGCTGATGCATTGGGGGTGACACTTGACTTTGGCCATCAAAGATTCACTTCAGATATGGCTTTGTCGACCCACCAATTTTGATGATTCATCATCAATTTCCCCCTTAAAGTTGCCGTAAATGGGTGCAGTGACAGTATCATTTTCTCCATTATGATCCATTATTTAAGCCAAGAAATTCACAGCAGTTGTAAATCGCAAAAAACTCCCCTGCATTTCTGAACCCCTGAATGACGATTTTCAATGGGGACAATAATGATTGACCACTGGATCTTGGGGTTTTCCCATAATTTTTGATGAACCCGTTTGTTTCATATCAGGCTGCTTACTTGTATCCTATTAATTCCCGTTATATACAAATATAATACACACATCTCCATTAGATCCCAATAATGTTTGATGCATCAAATTCCAATTGGTGATGGAATCCATGATCCAATTGATAGTTTTACATCCCCATGATATCCCCATTGGATCCTTGGGACCTGAGGAAACTGCTCATGTCTACTCGCACCTTGCGCGAGGGCATCTTGGATCGTCGCACCGCCGCAAACGTTGCAGGTGACCTGCCAACACAAATGGCCTGCCATGGGTCTCCCAGAAAAGTGGATCAGTTCACTAATAGGTACGCTTTTTTTTGTTCCCCATTTTGGTTTCCCTGGCCCGGACAGGCTGCAACGCCCCCCTTCGTTTTTGAATTGTAAGGTTTATTTTCGCGTCAGTTCTTCGTGCATATTTTGGAGTTGCCCATGCGCTGCTGGCGCACGTCTGGACAGACAGACAGTCGTTTCCTTTCTCTTTTGATTTCTGTTTCCCTGCTTCAGAAAGCTTTTCTGCTTCTTTGCTTTTCACTTTTTTTTTTTGCTTTTCTACTTTGCTTTTCGGCTTGTCCGCTTTTCTGCTTCCTCGCTTTATGACACAGCCCCGAATGTGCCGTCCGGTTCCATTTTTGCTCTTACCTAAGAAAGTGGCAGAACCAGCTGTTGAACACATTCTCTGCACCTGTTGTTTTTTTTAGCTTAAAATAAACCATAAATCAGCCCTCAATAAATCTTAAACCAACTTTAAACCAACCCCAAGCCAACCCCAAACCAACCAGTTCTTTGGGAGAGGTTTCAGCCAGGTCAAATTAGTCTAATTCTCAAGCCAGGATGCCAACATGCCACCATTGTCGTCACCACTGTGATATCAGGTGGTGATGATCACGACCCTTCTGCCAACACATCCGACCACGCGGAACACGAGGAGGGCTGTAGATTTTTGTTGGCACAAGCGGAAAGCGATGGCTATGGCCATGGGTCAAGCTTAAAGATCCAGGGACCGGCATCAAAATCACAGCAAGCCACCCAAATTTGGGGCAGAAAAAAAACCACCTTTTTGATCCAGATCAATTCATCCCCAACTGGACTTCTTGGAGGACCTGGAATCAGAGGCCAGTGCTTGGGCATCATGGTGGGGTGGAGTTGGAATCCCTGGGATCACAGGCGAAGGTGGCGGGTTGGGAAATCTCAATGGAAGTTTTAATGGAAAATCATCGATAAATTGTGGACTTTCGATTGAATTGAATCTTAAAGCCTCGGCCGCAGCTCATGCCTCACCATCCTCCTGTTTCATTTTGGATTCTACGCAGAAAGCTGAGAAAAGCAAAAAAGTTCGTCCAGTTCTGGTCCATTGACGTCCATTCATGTCGATTGTAGGATTGGTCTGCATGAATCGCCCATTTGGCTATGGATCAATACCTATAGATACATTTTTAGTGGGATGAACATCCATTTACCAGCTATTTTGGGGTTCACTAGGGGTACAGGGTTTTGACCCATCCCCATTTAAAAACAGTTAAAACCATTTAAAACCATTTGAAAGCCAAAGGGAACTGCTCAGGTGGACTCAAGGCACCAATGAGCTAGACCCAGTAGATCCTTGAGTGTCCAAGGTAGCCGCGCTGGCCATGCCGTGGGTCGGAAACGACATGCCATAGCAACCTGGTTAGTGTGATTTGTATTGATTTGTACATTTTGGCTTTGCTGTATTTATCCCGTGGCCGTGGCTGTGATTTTTCAACTCTTGTGGTGTTGCCTGGGGCAATTCATCGCACAGAGCTCGCGTATTGGCCATTGAAGACTTAGCCAGTCCTGAGCAGTTGAGCAAGTCATGGCCAATGGCATTACCTGCTACTCAACAGAGCCTCCCTATGGGGAAGTACCATGCTCCACGGAAATCCAATCACCAAACCAAATGAGGCCTCCCCAGCGGCACAGATGGCACAGGCAGCTCCGCAAACAGAGGATGTGGGAACGCTCACAGGTGCGCGGCTTGATCATCGGGATTGTGACAGAGCATCAACCAGTTGAATCGGGTCTTGCTTCAACTGAAATCAACTTTTTGAGGGTTTAGGAAGTTTAGTGGGGATTCATGGGGCTTCTACCAGGATTTTTCTACCTGGTTTCATGGAAGCTTTTGGGAATCCCAGCCTCAACCAGTAGATCTGCCCCAGGTGCCATGTTCGCCTTGCAGCTCTTCCAATCCCGCCACGGCCGGCGGCACTCCGAGGAAGGTGGCCGGCACTTCGGGAAGATGTTACCACATGACCAAGAAAACATGTCACATAATGCCTTTCTGTACATATATATATATATGTGGTATAGATACAATTATATACATATATACATATATACACTATATTATATACATAGATACATAGATACATAGATACATAGATACATACAAAGATAGATCGATACATAGATACATAGATACATAGATACATAGATACATAGATACATAGATACATAGATACATAGATACATAGATACATACATACATACATAGATAGATAGATAGATAGATAGAATAGATAGATAGATAAGATAGAATAGATAGATAAGATAGATAAAATAGATAAGATAGATAAGATAAATAAGATATATAAGATAGATAAGATAGATAGGATAGATAAGATAGATAAGATAGATAAGCTAGATAAGATAGATAAGATAGAGAAGATAGATAAGATAGATAAGATAGATAAGATAGATAAGATAGATAAGATAGATAAGATAGATAAGATAAAATAAGATAAGATAGATAAGATAGATAAGATAGACAAGATAGATAAGAAAGATAAGATAAGATAAGATAAGATAAATAGATAGATAGATACATAGATAGATAGATAGATAGATAGATAGATAAATCGATAAATCGATAAATATATACATACATACATACATACATAGATAGATAGATAGATACATACATACATACATACATACATACATACACACATACACACATACACACATACACACATACATACACACATACATACACACATACATACACACATACATACACACATACATACACACATACATACATACATACATACATACATACATACATAGATACATAGATCCATAGATCCATAGATCCATAGATACATAGATACATAGATACATAGATACATAGATACATAGATACATAGATACATAGATACATAGATACGTAGATGCATAGATACATAGATACATAGATACATAGATACATAGATACATACGACATGTAACTTCATTAGATTAAGCATATAAAAACATGTAATTAATAGTTATTCCAATAATGAATGTCGTTGGATGTTGATGTTTGGATGTTGGGATGTTGGGACGTTGGTATGTGGAGTGTGCAATTGGCTTTGACTTCCAGCTCGCAAAAAACCAGCTTGATGTCTCCAACTGCAGGTGATTCTGATGATGATACCTCTGAAAGTTCGGTGTGGATCCCTAGGATGTTACCTCAACAAAGTTGGAAACTCGTCCAATAGCTGCAGACTCAGCCACCTGCATTCACCAACTAAGGCATCCACCCAACGCACCTGGGCTTGATCTTGGGCAAGGGATACTGTTGATCGATGATGCACTATATCACTATATGTCACTATGATTATAGTGGGATTAACTTATATTTGTATAATGAATACAGTATAAATCTAAGAATCTAATATCACTAAAAAGCAATGTTAAGCTATTGAACTGGACGGATTCGTCGCGGATTTGGAAGATTCTGCCAGGGCCTGAAGATGTGGTGGATGCAGCCTTGGTCTACGACCGAGAGGCAGCCATCATGGCTGCGAAAATCAGTTTCCCATATTTTCCAACTGGAAAAAACATCAATAATTGCCCTTGAATCATGACTCTCCCATATTTTCACCCAAATATTTCAACTTGGCTTGGATTTCTATCATCCTTTTGCCAAAGAAACATGGGGATAACTTGGCGGCACCTCCTCCATTCCCACGTCGTACAGGCGCTTCTCCAGCGGGATGAGGACAGCACTGAGGGCATGGAAGGATGGCTGATGATTTTTATGAGTTTTCCATAATTTTTCCATTTGTGAATCCGAAAATTTGGGGAAATCTACTGGGGAAGGTTTTCATGTTTCTTATGCCCCCTTTAAAGCCATGGTGGCATCGGGGAGACCTGTTGTGGGATATTGCAAGCTTCGCTTGGCTCAAAATCAGGAAGAAACTTGTTTGTTGACTTTTCTTTGTATTGCAAAGAGACAGCATCACGTTTTCTTGGCATTTCACTCATTTCAAGTCACGATGAGCGCATGGGTTGCTCACACACACACACGACTGGCATGTTCAAATTCTCCGAGCGGTGCGACATCGATGCAGCGGACAGCTGTGATTTTAAACCTCTGGGTCGTCTCAGCAAGCGTTGACACTCGCATGATGTCGGGATGTTGGATATGTTGGGTTGGGGATGTTAGCACCCTGGCCTTGGCAATCAAAACCATGAAAAAGACAGAGTTGAAAGCAAAACAAAGTGCTGCCCACCATGCAAATCACTTTCTATCCTTGACCAGCTTGCTTTGCACTTGACTTGGACTGGATAGTTGTGGCTTGGACTTAATCCCAGGCGAAGTGTACAAGACCCTTTGCTATGCCAGATGCAAATGGAAGGAATACGAGCTGCAGAGTGTGTGGCAAATGCGGAAATCTGGATGTCGAAGACGATGAGGTCTGAAATGACATTAGATCAGACGACAATCAAATGACACACCTGTCATTGAACAACAGATTTTGTTGGTTTTCAATGGTTCCAGGAAGTGGTTCCACCACCAAGTTTCAGCTCTTGAAAAGAACATGCAGAGACACCTTGGTTTTTTCTCCGTGGATTTGAACGTTGAAATGGTGCAGCCAGACTGCCATCACCTGCATTGTCTGTCTTGCAACTGGTTAGGGATGCTGAATGGTTTTGGACATCTCTGCTATCCTTGCTGTATGGTAAGTTGATGTAAGTTGTTTGGGCTTGCCCAACCTTCAAGTGCATGCTGTTCCACAAGCTAAACAGGTCATGAGTCAAGAACACTTCTTATCAAACCCAAATCCTCCTTTCCCAGAAAACATCGAAAAACACTCCGGGCCCTGAAGGCCTGCAGCTTGAAGAATTGCTCTTTGAGTCTGCACTGCGAGAACCACAGCTACGATCAGTCCTTGATGCTGGAGCCGAAATTGTCATTGTGCACCAACCCAGGGGAAGATGAAGATTGCGAGGACATCAGTTCCCAGGGCCAGTGATTTAGGGCTTGATACAGTTGTGGCAAGTCCCATCCGAGTAGCATGGACAATACAACATTGGAAGATTGTTGGCAGACCTGCTGGTGTGGGATTTCTTTCAGCAGCACAATTATTCGAGATCATTTTGGATGGGATAGACACAGATACATTTACATGCATGCCATTTTCGCGGGACCTCTGCATAGGGCGCAGAGTATGTTCTTCATTTTGATGAATTTTCTGAAAACATATTTCTTTCATCAAGTGGAGGTATGGCTTTCACCAGGCCTCATTGGGCTGGTGCCACACAAGTCTTATCTTTTTTGTCGCGTTGCCTTTCGAAAGATGTACATGCTTTGCTGAGTGATGCTTTAAGTCGCTGCGTCGTCGTTGCACTGGAGCCTGCATCTGAGGCTTGAATTCCACAGGTTCCGTCCCTTCGATGCACTTCTGCATGCGGAAACGCCAGAGTGAATGTGTGGGTATCATTTTTAGAGCCAATGTCTTCGGCAAGTGGTACCACACAAACTATATTGACTCTTGTGCCCTGGTCTTTGGTGACGGGGGTTTGGTGTTCAGTTTCCCAGGGCGACTTTGGGGAGCAATTTTCTCTACCCTGTCACTGGGAAGAACTTAAGGTTGGAAGGAGGAAAGGGTCACCTCAACTACACTGCAAGCTCTGGCTGAAAGGTTTTGCCCAATGATCCTCCAAGTCTTGCCAACATGAGCCTATAGTTAGAGTCTCCTCAAAGCCAGTCAGTCCAACCTTTTTGATCCCAGCATTGAGGCACTCCTGTTGGTGCTCTGGAGATGCAAGCCAGTCAAGTGGTGATGCTGACGGTTTTAGCCACCAGTGCTGTCTACTTTGTGAAGCCTCCTGGCTCTGTGGGTAAGCCTGGCATCCAACCCGCTGAAGGACCCATGTGGTCGAAGATAGTGGAAACTTACTTACTTTTTGTGTTTTCTTGGGATTTATGCCCCAAAAGATCGATTATTGGATGCAAATGCTGGGGCCAGAACTGTGATTGGAGTAGAAATCCTAGCTGCTGTCGTAGCTGAGCTGCCATCGTAGCCTTTGCAAACGGATAGGTCACAGTTTGAAGCGGGCGAGCTTTGTACGGCTTAATGTGCTTTTAAGGCCTGGATTTCTCTCTTCTTTGCCTTCACTGCTGGGCGTGCTCTAATCCTCAACGAAAGTGCAAATCAGGCTGCCATAGGGATCATCACTTGAACAGCGTTGCTGTCAGAGCTCCAGAGGCCTTCTGCTGAGTTTTGCTCGCAAGAAGTCAGACATCTACAAAAAGGAGACGTGTCGCTGAGAAGGACTGCTAGCTCCCGTCTCGGGGGTCGATGGCAGATTGTGCTGTTCAGCAAATTGCAGAGCAAGCTGCTTTGTCGCCAAAATGGTGGTTGAGGTCGCGGGCGTGGAAGTTGCAGCTGCTTTGAACTATCGTCCAAAAGATCAGTACACTCTTCAGCACGACAAGTTTCACAAATCACGCGAGAGTTCCCTATGCCAGTTCATTGCCAAAGGATCTAGTCGAGCAACCACGATCAGATGCTGATGGTGGTGCAGAGGTTCAAGCAATCCTCAGACATGGCGCTTGTAGAGGCACGTCAGCTCAAAGCAAGATCCCTCCTTCCCAACAAGAATCCGAGCATGCCGACTCCATGGTAGCAGGATCTGTGGCCAGACAGATCATTGCACCCCATGCAGCTGCTGGTTCAAACTCTAGAGATGTGGAGGAGCAAGTTCATTCAGAGGCTGAGGGGTATGTGGATGCAGTGGAACAAGCGGTGGCTTGAGAATTTGTTGCAACCATCGCATGAACAACTTTCTCAGAAAACAGATTCTGTTGTTCCGGAATCGATTACTAGAAATCTCATTGTGGGTGGGATGTATGAGTCTGATGTTCGTTCTCAAAGTGGACACATACCAGAGGAAGCGTTGTCAGATGGTTATGCAGTGAACGGTGTTGCCAGAGAAGGCATTGTGTCAGCAGCCTCACAGGAAGTACCAACACAGCGTACGGCCCCATCCTCCCACATTGAATCGGAAGGTGCAGTTTCCCATGCTGTGCAGTTGGTTGCAAGAGATATGTTTGCAGAGCATGCAACAGTTCCCTATGCCAGTTCATTGCCAAAGGATCTAGTCGAGCCTTGGCCTTTAACAGCTCCAAAAAGTCCGGCCCGCGCTGCGGGCAGTTTGCAAGCAGCTGGGAATGATGGGAATGGGTCAAAATCGAAGCCTCAGAATGACCAACCTTGGTTTTCCTTGATTGTTGTTTTCTTGACTCCAATCTCGACCTATGACCTATGCTTTAAAGAGTTCTTTTCCCATTTTTCCCCCACATCCTGGAGAAACGAGCTGCCATAGGAGCTGCCATCCCAGCGTCCATCGGTGCACCTGGCGACGATCGAGGTGCGCCCTGGTCTTGGGCACTGATTTCCCAACTGGTTGATTGATTACTAGATTTACTAGATGGTACATGATGGTACCCCACCATTCAACAACCACTAGGGGTTTCCAATTATCCAATGGTATACTAATGGTAGATGATAGATAATTGGTAGATGATACTATATGCTATCCCAATTATCCATCCGGCCTGGGTTTCCGAACCAGGCCGGCTGGCCTTCTGCCTGGCGCTTGGATGGAAGCCTCAAGGCCGTGTCTCTGTTTCCACAGTATGCTGTGCCGCAATTGGTTGATCAGGGGATTGTACAATGTTATAGTGTCCAATAAATTGGGATTATCTGATGCTATTCTGGCGGTCCATCATTTTCCAACCATCATACAACAACATATATAATATGAATTAATATGATATGATATAATATAATACAATATGATATAATATAATAATATAATACAATATAATGATATGAAATAATACAACATGATACAATATAATATAATATAAAATGATATAATATAATATAATACAACATGATATAATATAATATAGTATAATATAATATGATATAATATAATATAACACAACATGATATAATATAATATAATATAGTATAATATGATATAATATAATACAATACAACATGATATAATATAATATAATATAATATGATATAATATAATATAATACAACATGATATGATATAATATAATATGATACAATATAATACAACATGATATAATATAATATACTATAATATAATATGATATGATATAATATAATACATCATGATATAATATAATATAATATAATGTAATGTAATATAACATAACATAATATCATATAATATATATAATTATATTTGTGTGTTATATATAGCATGTTATAATATATATATGTATACAAAACATAAATATAATATATATATATATATGCACATAATAATAGATATATAATGTAATATATGTGTATATATTATATATAATATAACATCATATATAATATATAATATGTAATATATGATATATGATATATCATATATAATATATGATATATAATATATGATATATAATATATTATATATTATATATGATATATAATATAATATAAAATAATATACTGTATAAAACCTATATAATTTATATAATATACATATATATATATATAATATTAGATATAATATATAATATATAGTAAATAATATATGATATATAATATATAATATATAATATTTAATTTATAATATATAATATGTAATTTATGTAATTTATGTAATATATAATATATAATATATAATTTATAATATATATATATAATATAATATAATATAATATAATATAATATATATATATATTATAATATATAATATATAATATATAATATATAATATATAATATATAATATATAATAATATATAATATATAATATAATATAATACAATATAATATAATATAATATGTATATATATATTATAATATATAATATATAATATGCAATAAATAACGCATAAGATATATACATATACAACGATATATTTTTTAGCAGGAGCACACCACAATAAACATCCATTAGTGAATGGGATTCCCACAAAACTCAGTTGCTTTTGGTGCCATGGTACTGTTTTTTTCGGGAGCGCGGCATGTGTCCAGCGCCTTGTGATGGCAGGCCATGTTGGAAGATTGAGCTCCTGATTTGGCAAAGTTGGAGTAGTTGGTGTCAGATCATGAAACTGACTTCAGGACCTTGAATTCAGCTTGGATGCTGGTGGTTTAAGGTACTCTGAACAAGTTGATGCTCTTTGTTGATGCGACTTTGAAAGTGTACATTTTGTGCAGGAGCCCTCTTCCTTCTGCCAGTTCTTTTCCAAGAGTCAACTTAGTGCATCCTGTTTGATGCAAGGGTTTGGCGGCATTGGCATACCGATTCTACTTTTGCCTTGGTTTCAACATGAGTGCTTCAGCTAAGTGAAGAAGTTCAAATTCTTGGACAGAGGTAAAATTCTGCATGCAGTAGTTTGCTTGATTGAAATGACTGGTTTGCTAGACTCTCTAGGTACCCTGCCCCCAAATTATTCCATCGATAGCCTGCTCGTACTCACTTCACAAATTACTCCTCGCTTTGCGGCTTTGCCCACCAGTGGTGTCTGTACATTGCATGGGACAAAGCTGCCCAGTCGTTCGTTGTCAGTTGCAATTCTGCCAGCACCTTTTGTGATTATCCAGGGCAAACAATCTCCAGCGTGTCGCAAGCTGCTGCGCCAAAGCTGTAGAGTTGTGACTAGGCAGAGCGTGGCCAAAGATTGCCACAGAGCCACAGACCTGATGGTTTTGTGGGGCATGGACATGATGACATGATGCCATGATGACACTCGGTGCGAAACTGCACCAGAGAGTGGCTGGCCTCTGAAAACGGGTTGACTGCAAGCGAACTGCAAGGCAGCCAAGCAGTGCTGGAGCCTCCAAAAACATCAGCACTGCTGTGACGAGCGCAGCCTGACCACCCCAGGTTCCATGGCTGCGGGCTTTGTCAAGGCACCAAACACGTTTGATTGGCCACCTTCATCGGAGCACAGTATGTGTTGCATCCACTCGGATATATGCTCCACTTGGGTGGACTGAGATGCTGGTAACGTCCTTCTTATCTTTCGACTTTCGCTGACATTTCTCAACTTGAAAGCGCTTGACACTGGAAGGCACCTGCATCCCGAACAACCGAGGCTGGCGGGTCAGTGTGAACATCGCTGCGCGCAGATGCCAATGTAATTTTTGTGGTTCGAGCAAAAAAAGCCTTGTCTGAAAATTGGGGGATTTCTGAAATGCCACCATGGTTTATCATCAGATTCGCATATTCCCTACATTTTCCCTACTAAAGTTGCTATTTGGTGCTATACCCCATTTGCAGACCCCATTTTCAGACGCTCCCAGCCGTGTCCCAGCTTGACACAGGGGAGACAGGTAAGACAAGCTCCTTCACAGTTGCGAGGGCACATGCCTACAGCCTGGGACCACAGCTATTGGGTTTGCAAAGATGCGGGCGAAATGCCTACAATTTGTATCAATTGATGGCATCTAAATAGTAAAAATGATGAACAGGTGGCAAATTGAATGGGGAACATAATGGTAAAGCACTGGATTTTGGGTACAAGAAATGTTTGGAGGCGCACATGTTCCTTGGATGATGATTAACCAGCAGCTTCCACAGAAAATGGCTTGATGCTTGACCAACCGGAAAATGCATGACAACCCACCCGATCTCACCCACTGGCTGAAATCAATTTTGCATTACTTTGAATTTCTCACAGGTTTCCCATGAAATGTGATGGTCTCTCTCTCTCTCTCTCACTCTCTCTCTCTCTCTTTAACATCTCTATATATATATGTTTATCTATCATTTTCTCTTCGCGATACGCTCACTGGTTAATATGTTTATTTGGATATGATTTATCCTATCCGTCTCATCAGGGCCACGGGGCTCCTGGCCCAGCCTTTCGACAAGGCACCACCTCGTCGCAAGCCGGCCGTTAGCCAGAGCGAGGTGCCAGTGGGGATCAATCCATTGACATTTTGACTCTCCGTCTCTCTCTCTCTCTCTCTATGTACACACGCTGTATATAATATCAATATTATATATACTCAGAAATATATATATACATAATATGGATACATAATTAATGAAGGTTATTACATTCAAATATGTATGTACATAATCGCTTCCAGGTCGCGGCCCTGACAGCCTTGGCCTTTGCTGCCCCTTGGCACAGCCTCCCGTTTTTTAGGCTTTGGAAATCAGCTGACACATGGTTTTTTTTTGGCAAACGGCTGTGTCTGAAAAAAGGGGGATACCCCTTTCCACCAAGGGGAACAACAATTCCACGCTTCCAGGTCGCGGCCCTGACAGCCTTGGCCTTTGCTGCCCCTTGGCACAGCCTCCCGTTTTTTAGGCTTTGGAAATCAGCTGACACATGGTTTTTTTTTGGCAAACGGCTGTGTCTGAAAAAAGGGGGATACCCCTTTCCACCAAGGGGAACAACAATTCCACTTGGATCCACTTGGATCCACTTGGATTATCCATTGGTTATCACTTTGGGTATCCATTGAAACCAATGGGTTAATCATCATATTATCCACTCAAAAACTCATCATTTTAGTGGAAGACATGATGATTAACCCATTGACGTATCCACCTTGACCAGCTGGTTAGCCCCAAGGCAGGCAGTTCCCGTCGACAAGGAAATGATTTAGATTGATAGTATGTTTGCTGCTATTATATATAGTACCTTTTTTATTCGGTTCCCTTCATTTTTTTTCACCGCATCAGGTGGACTGGACAGGCAGCGCTACAGGCCCGAAAATGGTGCGATTTGTTGTTGCGAAAACCCGGAAATCGTGAGGATTTGAAAATCTGCGTCCGTTAAAGACATAGCAACCTCCAAAAGATAGGTTTAGTATGGATTAATTTGAATTACTAGTTATTTCCTGGAATGAAAGTGTTTCCGCTCTTCTTTTGGCTTGTTACACCTTGGAAATGGCCTTTTTGATTTGGGAGTCCATCCCCTTCGAAAGTCGGCGCGGCGTCATGGCCAGGTTGGTCCGGCATCCGGCAGAAGTCCATTTTGGACGTGGAGTGGCGGAACATCCACGGCCACTTGGTACCGGGGTACCCCATGGTACCCCAGGGACGCTGGGTCATGGTGTCCAAAAAGGACCAGTTGAACTCGGAGGATTTTTGGGTTCCCTTTCTTGGGAACATTCATGTATGTAATTTGATGTAATTTGATGTAATGTAATGTAATTTAATATGATCTAATATAATATAACATACTATAATATACTATACTATACTATAATATAATATACTATAATGTAATGTAGTATAATATAATAGTATAATAATAAAATATATTATGATAAAATAAAATAAAATATAATATAATAAGATAAAATAGAATCCATAAAATAAAATATAATATAATATAATATGTTTATGTTCTGAGTTCTGAGTTCTGAGTTCTGAGTTCTGAGTTCTGAGTTCTGTTCTGTTCTGGTCTGGTGGTGATTATTGAAACCATCCCAATCAGGGTATACCCAATTCCGTAAACTACAATTTTGGGACGGTCTATTGTTGTGGACATTATTTGTGATTTCTACGGAAAGTCGGATGTGGCTCCTCAATCCTTGTCCTATCTGAGTCCATACTAAGACGGCTGGGTGTGGCCGGTGTGGCCTTAAACTTAACGTTTTCGAAGCACCGGTGAATGGCTGGGTTCGTTGGAAATAGGGTACCCCCAAATGGCAATGGACAATCATCACCTTTTCCACTCAAATGGTCATAAAATAGGGCGTGTCCAAGTTTTGGATAAAACCATATGGGTTCGGGACCAAGCTGCCGCGGTGCTGATGCAATGAGCCAAGGTGTAATGACTCTATCTTCCATCATCCTTTTCGCCGCACAGATCAGCAGGATCTTGGTCCAGGGACCCAGGGAAAGATGGGAAAGTGCGAAAGCTGCCAAGGGACCTTTAGACCTTTGCCTTTTATTTTTGTTGGCTCTCATGAGGGCACTCATATTGAAGGTCAACAAATGTCACTCATCAAGGCAAGTATGGAGTGCAGGGGGGGATGGTGCAGAACTTCAAGTGGTACCGGAATGAGTGTGGGACAACCACAAGGATTTGGCGCAAAAAACAGAGATCACTCGCAACGATTTTTGTGAATTGAAACATAGAAAACTCTTCAAATGATGCCTGAAAACGGCACTTTTAGGCACTTCTAGGCCAGCACCATTTTCCATGATCATCCCAAAGACACGCTGGGATGTTTTTTGCTTCGACAGATTCCCATGGTTGGGACTTGGCTCGAGCGCAGCACGTTAGGGTCCTGCGATGGTACATATGCATTCTCACACTTCAGGAGGTGCTGCCACTGCAGCAGCAGCTCTAAAAACCACTGGTCACTGTGAAGGTTGCCAGGTTGGAATGGGCGAAAGTTACCCTCAAATTTGGGTGGTGGGAGATGCTCAAAATATCTCAAAATCATATCACATTAAAATTCGTACTAAAATGATCATTTACCCCTCAAATATTATCGATGGGTTCAGGTCCTAAACATGACCAGCATGTCCAAACAGTCTCTGTTGGTCGCGAAAAAAAAACGGCAGGCATCTACCGCGCCACCTTCCAAAAGGTCGTGGAGTAAGGCCAGCTCTGCCAGTTCTGCCTCTGCGATTTCTGCTTCTGCGATTCGCGACGACCGATTCGCACGGTGGCGCTTTCTCACAAGGCCTTGTAGCTGTAAGGAGCACCGCTTGAAGGTTGGAGGATTATGAGTTTAAACATTGTAAAACAGCTCGAAATATGATGTGGGTGCCTCCATGTTAAGTTGTAGGGAGTTGGAAGCTTAAACTTGTCCTCCAGAAAGGTAATTTGTTGTGCTTTAGGATAATTTTTGCCGAATGAACAACATGGAGCGCGAGCGCACGAATTTGCGCTCCCCAACTCCGCAGAACCAAAATCTACGGCAGAAGGTGGTTTCAAATTTAGAAATTGACCGTAGATTCATAGATCGATTTTCTATGTGAGACTATGTGATAGAGTCTGATAGAGCGAACACCAAACGCTCGCGACTTTGGCCACAAGTGGTTCAAGTGACTAAGAAGAAAGTAACCTTAGGAGAGTTCAACATGGCTTTCTTGAACCAACCTTTTTTGGTGACTGCTTCGTTCCAATGTACTATAGATCTGCTTTCTCAGAGCTGCCTTTGGGCCACTGAGGACAGTGTGAAACTGGAATCTTTCCATGAGGCGCGCTTCAACTTCTTCCTATCCAGTGTTGAAGCAGATCCTGCAGACTTCGAGGTGGTTCCAGGGAGGGGGTTGGTATTTTAACAGCGTGGCGTTGTGAATGATGCAGCTGGTGTCCTGCCATGATCTCTACAACATCTTGCGGCTTGCGGTGTAGTTCTTTTTTTTGCGGAAACCTGAGCACTTGCTGGAAACTGGAAATGCTAAGAGCCCCTTTGATCCCTTTGTGGGCTTTTTCAAGCTCTGAAGTTTTTGAACAATTATCCCAGCACACAAGGCTTCACATTGAGCACCATGTAGCGGCGAGCGCATCAAGAACCCCACACTCTCCCTTGAGTGTCTATACGCTTCAGGAGTTCGTAGATCACGAACGCAGCAAGAGATTCCTAGAAGGCCGCAGTTTAGAGGGGCTGTTTGTTTTCACCAACAACTTATGGACTTCTGACTTTCGAGGATTCTGTTATCCATATCAGTTGGGTAGAGTGTGACTTGGAATTTCATTTCCATCACTCGGGAAGAGTGATGAGATGAAGATTCAACAAAGCCTAAGTAATGGCACTGTGGTATCAAGCATCATGCTCATCTTGGGCATCACTTAGCTGTCCAGTGGTCAAGTCACCGTTTGTTTCTGCCTCACAGATTAGTTAATGCATTTTTACAGAACGTCGAGTGGTGATTCCTGCAACGTAATCAACGGGGTGCCACCCATGTGTCCTGGCATTCCTGTCGACCGTTGATGTTCAGTTCTTGGACATCTGGCACTAACCAAATTATGGGCGTGACAAAAGGATAAGAAAGGAGTACCATCTGGTTATGACTAACAGTTTGCCATGGAGAATCACCATGCTATATTAATAGGTAAACCATCTATTTCTATGGGCCATCTATACCATGGCTATGTTAGTCATAACCAGAGGGTACCAGCGTGAAGCGATGTCATGAAATCCTACGCTCTGCTGCATTTGCAGAAACGATGAAGTGCACACGTGAATTCCTGCAGCTCAATGTGGGAGCCCCAAAGTTGATGGCGAGTGGGTGGCTTCACATATTTTGGATTTCAACTATATTTGGGATCATGATCCCAACTGGCCAATATTGGCCAATATTTTTTCAGGTTGAAACCACCATCTTGGGGATATACCCTCTGGTTATGACTAACATAGCCATGGTATAGATGGCCCATAGAAATAGATGGTTTACCTATTAATAGCATGGTGATTTTCCATGGCTATGTTAAATAACCAGATGGTATATCCCCATTTTTCAGACCACCGTATTTTTTGCGCAGAGTGGCAGGAGCGCCGCCCGCGAAATCCAGGGCCCGCGCCGAGTCCGGCGATTTGTGTCACGCACGAACGAACACCGTGCATCCCACCTGGAAGCCCGACAGGGGCTTGAGTCACTTGGAACTGAAGCTCTTGGCATCTCATAGATTTGAGTTTGGAAATTGTGGGAAAAGCCACACTGCTCACTCCACACTCCACAGTTTACAGTTTACACTTTACACTCCCCACACTACACTTTACAAACTACACATTCCACACTTTACACTCCACACTTTACACTCCACACTCTACACTCCGCACCTTAGACTCAATGCTCCACACCTTGCACTAGACTTTCCAGTCCAGACTCCACTCTTCTTAGTTTAGACACCACACTCCCCACTCGACACTCCACTGTTTGTAGTCTACTTTATACTCTACACAATGTACAAGACTGTTGTGCAAGAATGTAGAAGTGTTTTACGTGACTGCATTCAGGTTCCTTGGTTGGTCTTGTTTTTTCTTTTGAGAGACCAAACAATTGATGCCGAGAGAGGTGTTGATTAGTAGTGATGGCGCCTTGGGTCGGGTCTTCTATATGGAGGTGTGATGGCTTCTAGCGCAACATGTGAGGATCATACCTCCACTTTGTGTCATGTAAATATAGTTCTGTGAAAAGGTGGCATACACTCCCCCCAAAGTAGCAATTTTCATCCTTTTGCTATTATATTTAAAAAAAACTGTGCATTTAGTGTAACTCGAGACGCTAGGACCAATGGCGCTCATCATCGAGTGCGAGAGCTTTGTGGTGCGTTTGTGAGTGCGTTTATGGAATGAACGGAATAGCACTTGGCTGGGAGGTTTCGTTGGGGCCATTGGTAGCACATGAACATTGGCCTTACTTCGATTACTTCGAATTGTGATCTTGCCAGAACTTGTGCTGTGTGAACATAGTTGAGTCGTAGATTTCCATGGATTGATTGCTATTTGGCTATTTGCTTGGAACTAATCTGCTTCCTTCAAAACTTTGAGCAAAATTACTCAGCCCTATTTGTGGGTTGCAAAAAAAAAGGGCATGCCAAACTTTGGCAAAGTTCCAAGGCCCCGCGGCGGTTCGCTTTGGGCAAAGATGGACAGATACCCGTACCCAGTCGGATTCATTTCTGACCAGGGAAATCAAATTCTGGTCCCATTCCAGATCTGCTGAGTCCACAAGGTGCCAAGTGTTCAGTTTCCAAATGAGGGACCATAAGGGCATCTCACGAATGCTTTATTCGCGCTGAGTGTAGGAGCGCAGAATAGCGCAGAGGAAAAAAATCCTTTCGCAGCTGAGGGCATGGCAGGTTGGCTGGTCTTTCATAGCTGCCACGGGCTATGAGCGGATGCAGGGGAGCGTGGAATGAAAGTGCAAAAACATCCTCACTGAGGTGTTCTCGGGTGGAGTGGAATGCAGTTTGATGTGAGCAACTATTTAGGGACCGGTCGAATCCACTTCTAGAAGCTCTATCAAGAAATGGCTGACAACTTGATGTTGTTTTCCATGTTACTGTAGCACTTTCGATTGGGCAAGAAAGATGTCCGCTTCCTTCTTAGCACCACTTCGTCAACTCTATTTTTCTTTGGTGCAATCCAGCCTAATTTAATCAAATCATGTTCTTCTTTCTGTCACCCCACATCACCATTCATGATAAAAAAATCAGAGTGTCTGCTACGGGCGAGCTGGATATTGCCATGCAGCTTATTGCATCATTCCACGTTTCCCTGCACCTTCGCAGCATGGGTTCAGGGATGCAAAGGTGGGCTGAGATGAATGAGACATGAGCCCAGCAATTTGGGGTTCAAAACTAGAAATCCCCAAAATTTCAAAGGTTACTCATTGTTTCCATCATTAAGATTGCCATCAACCAGAGGTACATCCCCCATTTCTAGGCAAGTTTGCAGCAGCTTGGCCTCCCGTACCATAGCTACTTGAGCAGTGTTCAAAACCCTTGTTGGTTGATGATTTTAATTATGTGGGGTTATACTACCCAATATATTGGGGTTACATTATCACAATCAATTGTGGGAAATCCTATTAAGCAGCGAGTACACAGGGGGACAGAGGGTTTTGAACACCGCGTCATTTGCATCCTGAAGCTTAATACTGAGATGTCGTGGTTATACCTGAGGTACATAGAATACAAACCATGTTTCGCCACTTTTGACAAGTGGCTGGGGCACACTGAGAACAGCCTGCAGACCATCAGCTCATTATCGAGGTCTGACGCGCTTTTTGTTGCGTTGCACGACTCCGAATGATGTGTTTTAAAGTGGGTTGCACTCTGAAAACACAAAAGGCACTGAAAAACACTCTTGCCTCGGCAAGACCTGGGAGCAGATGGATCTTGCAGATGCAGATGGTTTTTAAAAGTGGGTTGATCTATGTTGATCGCATCAGAGGATTGTTTTTGGTTTCGGGGTTGGGGTTGGGGCGGTGAACCATTTCTTGCCTCAAGACTTGGGGAAATTAGAGGTATTTTGGAGCGAATCCGGACTTGTTTTGTTTTGTCAGGGCTTGCCACACAAGACCTTAAGAGGTACCTGCCCCGAGAGATGCGATGGGTGAAACAGGTCGGAGCAACATGCCATCAGATTGTGCCATGGCATCAGTCTCCATCAGAACATCCACAAGCTCCCAGACTTTCCCAGACTTATGTGCCACGGCTTTTAATTTGTTAATGTGTTTTTCTTGGTCGCCGTCGCCAAGTCTTGCCTTGGCGACCAAAGAAGAACAACTCCAATGGGAGGCAGCGTCAGGATGCTGGTACTGAATGCAATGGATTTGATGGACTGTTTGTACTAAGTATGTACTACATGATGTTCAGATACTGTCCAAAACTGAGCATGTACTACACTGCAGAATCAGTTGCTGTGCAGTTGCATCTTTATATCATTTATATCCTATCGCACGTATGAATTGATGGATATTTTCAAGTTCCACGTTTGACTTCCAGCGAGTACCAGCAAGCCGTACCAAGCTCTTCCGTGAAATAGCAAGCATGGTACAGCACCTTTGAGCCCAGCCGCTATGCGGAAAATGATGATCACTCGGAAAACATGGGATTTTTGGAATACTGTACCTCAGTTTTGGACAAGCCTAACTAGTCACTAACTATATGATACATTATGATACATTTAGTGACTATATACAATCATTTTTGGCAGTTTATCTGCTGTTCTGGCACAGTGAGTGAATAGCTGTCGTTTTCCTGGTACCGCATGGATGCTGGCAGTCAAGGAGATTGAAACATGGATTGCCTGTCCGGAATTTTGGCGAAGTACTTTTAGCCAACTGCCGAAATGCTCAGAAGACTTTCTGACTTTTGTATTTCAAAGAAGATGGAAAAACTGAATGTTGATGCACAAGGTGACGTCGGGAATGGGCTGGCCTGCTTGCAACAGGCTATGATACCAAATTTACAACTTAAATGCAGTGGAAGACACCAATTTGTCTCAGGCACTTTGAGTTTGAACATATCACATATAGAGAGCCTGGCAACTGGAATCCTAAGCGGCAGCCCCATAGAACAGGAGGAAATTCACCACCCATTCTGCGATTGTTCACCCAGGCCCATCAGGCGCCCACCGAACTGGAGGTGTGGTTGACCGCAATTGTCTACATTCCATGGATCTTCTTTTGCTGGAGGCCAGTTCAGATTGGGGGACAGATTGGGACCAGGATGCTTCTTTCAACCCAAAATGGGAAGAAACAACAGTGTTGGAAGCAAGGTGGTAGAATGCGAGGTCTATGGTCAAGTAGCTGGAATGAGTATATATATATATAATATATAATATATATATATATATCTATTGTGATTTCCATACATGCTGCTCTCCCCATAACTAATCCATAGATAACTCTTGAACACCCGGTCCTTTCAATCACCAGTGCATTCGTTGCCTATGAGGCATTTGCATCCGCCAGAACACTGGCTCAGGAGAGCTCTGGCGTAGGGTGGGCGGGACGTGTTTCTTGAGAGCCATTGCAATAGTGGCAGGGACCACTTCGTTGTGCTTGGGCGAGGCGCCCTCCTTTTCCAATCGCAGAAGGACTGCAGCGGTGGAGGCAAAACAGAGATTAGCGCGAGGCCGCGCAGCTGGCCAGGACGTGCGGAGGTGTTGGCCTGGGAGTTAAGACCAGTTTCATACTGGTAGCGGAGCTCCTACGGGAGCATCCGGGGCAAAGATGTCAGAAGTTTCAGGTGGAGATCCTCCTATATCGAACCAGCTGGCAAACCTTGTGCCCTCGTTCGATCCAAGCAAGGATGACATGACCATATACCAGCAGAAGGTAGAATTGGTTCTTGCAGCATGGCCGAAAACCAGAATCACAGAACTCACAACGCGCTTGATCTTGAACTGCACAGGAACAGCTTTCCAGAAGTTACAGCTGCACCAGACAGAACTGTTGGCCGAGAACGATCCGAAATCAGTACAGCAGTTGATCAAGTTGCTCGGAGGCCAATGGGGCCGTGTCAGTTTGGAAAATCAATACCGTGAGGCTGAAACAGCTCTTTTTGGAACAGTCCAACGTGCTGATGAGAGCAATGATTCATATCTGGCTAGGGCAGATGTCCAATGGATGAAGCTGTTAGCACAGAAACTGAAGGTAGAAGATCTTCAGGCCTATGTGGTATTAAGGGGATCCCAACTTTCACCCGAAGACAAGAAGAAGGTCATTCTGGAGAGTGATTCGAGCTTGGAAGGGAGATTAACAATGACAAGGGTGAATGAAGCGGTCCGCTTGCTGGGAGCCCAGTTCTTCCAGGACATGACCGGGGGAAAACGAACCACACGCACCAAGGTGTATGAACAATCCGCCCTTCTCACTGAAACTCATGACGATGATGGTCCGGAAGACACTTTTGCCACAGGACATGATGACAATGAGGATGAGTTCATTGATGGACTAGCTCATGATGGAGATGAGGATGCCACATTAGTGGCTGATTTTGAGCTGGCAGCGTCTGAAACGCTGCAAGATGATCCATCACTGGCCGAAGCCTTCAATGCTTATCAAGATGCGCGCAGAAGATTGAGTGAAAAGTTCCGCAACAGAGGGTTCTGGCCGACGTCAAAAGGGTCATATCACTCTGGAAAAGGCCGGGGTGGGAAGTTCAACAAGGGCAAAGGAGGCAAAAATGCCTTCGACAACCGACCTCGACGTAGCCTTCAAGATCGGATTCTCAACAGCAACTGCCGAATCTGCGGCAGGAAGGGACACTGGCGGGCCGAGTGTCCGTACAAAGGGACTTCTCAGGGGTCCACTGCCGGATCAACAACACCGGGAACAGCACCCACGACCACAGTGGTCACCGAGAATGCTGATGACGAGCCCGACGTCCTGCCGATGGAGGTCATGCAACTGCCAATGCACCGTTCCATAGATCAGGACACTGAAACCAGGGTTGCTCAAACTAATGCCAGTGAAGTGAGTGTTTTTCATGTCTGGGGACAATATAAACCTAACCATAAGGGGATTCAGAAGGAATCAAGTGGTAATAAGGGGAATATTGTAGGAATAGGACATGATCGCCTCCAAGCCCGGCTTTCCAGGAATAAGCCGGCACCAAAGCAGCCTGACCAATGTAGTGCATCCGATTCCGCCAGAAGCCGACTGAAACACAAGATTTCAGTCATCCGTGCCAGAAAGTTCCAATCGGAACTTATCCAGTCACCGGCAATTCAAGGTCTTAGATTTGTGAAAGGTCAGGAGGACCCACCTGAGCATCACATGTCCAACCGAGCCCAAGATGAAAGCCATGTTTGTTTTGCAACGTACGGTGCCATGGGAGTGTTAGACTTAGGTGCCTCAAAGACGGTGATTGGAAGCGAGCATGTTGCAGAGTTGCTGGATGGATTGAGCCCTCAGGTGCGTAAACAGGTCACCCGTTGTGCATGTCATGTGACATTCCGATTTGGAAACCAAGGAACACTCCAAAGCAAACACGCCATCATGGTTCCCATTGGTTCTTTGTTGCTTAAGGTTGCCATAGTGCCTGGAGGGACACCTTTTCTCCTGAGTAATTCACTGATGCGTGCTTTGTCAGCCCAGATCGATTGCCGCACCAATATGATGCACAGCCCACTGCTGCGGAGTCCAATCAAGTTGACATTAACTGCCAAGGGTCTGTTTTTGATTAACTTGAGTGAACTTGCCCTGAATGCCATGCCAGAGACTCCGACAGAAGCAGCACCAATCGTGACTGAAACGTTCGTGTCCGAAGAAGCCGAACAAAAGATGCCGACAGTGTTGGTGACCAGAATGCCACCCATCCAAGCCAAACAGTCCAATCCAGATCAGGTAGCCATATCACAGAACAGTGACCAGCCACAGATAGACAATCCACATACTCAACCACTGAAAGCCCAGGAAAAACCATGCCAGTTCCAAAGTCGTGTTAACATTCCCTCCAGTGATAACGAGTTTTCCCTTCATGAGTTAACCAACAGTTCAACCAGGGTCAACCACTCAGCCGACCGACCGTCAGCAGTTTTGAACACATCAGAACCGATCCCTGACGCAACATCTGTGATCGCTGACCATGTCGCTTCAACAGCGTCTCCAGGCCATGCAGGTGAAGGAGCCGATGCAGACCAACGACCTGGACCACCTGACCCGGGAGCAACTTGCTCACGAGGTTGTGGACTTCGGAGGCAAGCACAAGGGGAGGTCATACTCCGAGGTGTGGCACGAGGATCAGGAGTGGGTCATGTTCATGGTGAGTCGCTACCAGGAGAGCATGAAGCTCAGTCACAGGAAGTTTCTCCGGTATGTCGACATGCAGCTGACAGAACACGAGAAGACCCAGATGCCGGTCCCCGTGACCAAGAAGGCCATGAACATGATTCCCATCAATACCCCAAAGGGGGCAGCAAAAGCAAAGGCCAAGACCTCATCGGCCTTCAACATCCCGGTCCCCGACGGCTCAGCACCTACTGGGGATTCCGAGGACGAATGGCTGAGTGGAGAGATGTGCGAGTCACAGATGAAGATTACGAACCAAGATCCAATGGTCAACGAGAACATTCAAGCCCTGCAAGATCGCATGCTGAACATGGAGCAAGCCCTGAGCCGTGTCATCCAGTTCATCGAGGAGAAGAGCCAGCCGCCATGTGTGGACCAGTGAGTGAGATGTTAGATGCCCAGGCTGAAAGTCACACGGCAATGCATGCGGATCGACGCACACTGAACTCATTGATCATTCAGATATCCAAAGAATTCGAAGGCCAACTGCAACAGACCAAGCCTTTAGGATCCCGATGGGAGGTAGGTGAAATTTTTTGCAGTCCCCAATCACCGATCATCCAACAAATCCATAACCTAGGTGCCAAGGGGTTTCGATTCGGATATCAAGAAGGGGATCTTTCCACTAAAGAGGGCCGTGGTAAGCTCTTTCGCATGATAGGCACTCATCGCCCCAGAAGCATTTGGTACAGTCCAGTGTGCGGACCATGGTCATCATGGTCAAACTTGAATGCATCGTTGTCACTTCAACACTGGCAAGATCATCAAGCGCTCCGACACGACATGCTGTATCAACTGGCTATGGGGATAGTGTTGTACCGCCACCAAGTATCAAATGGGGATCACATGCACTGGGAACAGCCGAGCCGGTCGCTAATGTTCAAACAGCCAGGTATGAGTGAACTCCAGGAACACATGCAGACATGTGAGTTTGATATGTGTCAGGCAGGGGGGTTGAGAGATCCAGTGAACAAAATGTTCATGAAAAAGGCCATGCAACTCATGACCACCTCACCGACCATGTACCAAACACTTCATGGAATGAAATGTAACCATCAACATGAACATCAAACCATCGAAGGAACTACTTACAATGACCAAGGTGCCATTCTGCGAACCAAGTTCTCAGAAGTGTATCCTAGGAAGTTTGCCCGGACCATTGCCAAAACCATGATGCGCCTGCAGGGTGAAAAGCCGTTTCACTGGAATCCCAAAATCCACCTGCGTAGTGCGGCCGAACCGGATCAGCCAATCCATGCTGCCACGACTGGTAGCCGAACAGTCAGGGACCGTTTCCCTCGTTCCGAGCTGATGTGCCCACTGCCAGAGACCGAGACCATGGCCAAGAGAAGACGAATCAATGGAAAGCATAGTCCTCATGTGACTAAGGAAATGTGTGAACAGTTCATGAAGACCATTCAACAGGAATTGCCAAGAGTAGGGAAGCGAGAGATCAGATCCAATACGGCCTGGAGTCAAATCCAAGAAATATTCCATGATAAAGAAATAGTCCGGATCATAGCTTGCAGGGGTACCGACAGAACACTAGGACCACCAACTGGTCTCCATCACGAAGAAGCACCATACAGACGTACCATCATGGAAATCCGCGAAACCAAAGAAATCAAGTTTGAAGCCTACTGGGAACGGTGGGATCAACTCTCCAATCGGCAGTTGATTCGTCCGGCACACCCGTGCAAAATAAATGTTACCGTGTTTGGCCGTGACCGGTATCTGAACAGTGCTCCAGCCGTGATACCACCGGTAGGAAATCAGCCGACACCTCATGCAATAGATGCTTCCGCAGATGTTGTGCCCGGCAGTGCACCACAGGTCGAAGAACCAGTGATACCCGCCGTGCCTTCTGATGTGGACAAACCGATGCAGCAATCCCCAACACCGACAGTGGAAAATCCAGCGCCGGACTCTGAGCTGACTGAAGCTCGACTCCGTTTCCAGAGTCTGGCTCCTTGGGAAAAGCAAATGCTCCGACAGATGCACACCAATTTGGGTCATCCCAGCAATGAAAGATTGTGCAAGGCCCTCCAAACCCAAGGATACAGACCGGAAATAATTCAAGCCGCCCGTGAGCTGACCTGTGTAACCTGTGCTAAGTGCTCTCCACCGAAGCATCAAAGACCAGCGGTCCTGAAGCAAGTGTTGGATTTCAACCATAAGATTTATCTGGATGCCATCAACTGGACCAATAAAGTTGGAAAGACCCTTCACTTTTACCATATCCTCGATGCAGGTTCAAGTTACCATGTTGCAATTGCCTCCCCATCCAACACATCAACCAACATCATTCGACTCTTACAACAACATTGGTGCAGCTGGGCCGGAATTCCATCCGAATTGGTGGTAGACTCAGGTACCGAATTAAACAGCCAAGAATTCCAAAATTTCCTTCAGCAATATGGCATCCGATGCACTACAACTAATCCTGAAGCTCACTGGCAAAATGGCCGGGTGGAAAGACATGGTAGTTTCCTCCAATCAATGCTTTCGAGAGTAGACCAAGAAATGGGGATTAATGACTATCATGACTTGCAAGCCTCCCTCAATCAGTGTACTTCCGCTAAGAACATGTTGAGCACCCGTCATGGATATTCACCAGAAATCATTGTGTTTGGTCGTCAATCCCGATTGCCAGGGTCCATACTGAATGACGAAGGTGTCCCAAGCCACCTCCAAGCCCTTCAAGAGAAATCAGAAGTCAGTATCGGTGAGTTCAAAAGAACCCTTCAATTGAGAGAGACAGCCCGTCGTGCATACCATGCCGCAGACAACTGTGATGCTTTGAGAAAAGCCGTCCTTCGAAGATCCTGTCCCCACAGAGGTCAATATGAACGAGGTTCATGGGTGATGATCTGGAGAACCATCAATGTGGGGGAAAAGAAATGGTTAGGTCCCCAAAGGGTAATTATCCAGGACGGTAACCATACTGTGTGGACAACGCAATGTGGTAGGATCTATCGACGTGCGCCGGAGAATGTCCGCCCATCAATGCCAGAGGAAGGACAGCCAGAAGGTCCCGATCTTCCAGAGGATGTCACTCCACATGAGCAACAAATACAGGCCTTGCAGATTCGAGAACAAAACCAAGATGAAAGAACTCTTGATTTACCTGAAGAAAATCATGATCACCATAACCCTCAGATCGGTGATAACAGTAATCAAGCCACTTCCACCAATAATAACCCCAACCCTGAACCTGAAATAATCCCAGACATGCCCGGAGGATCTAGTTCTAGTGACTCCATTCCCCAGCCCGATTCTGAAGCCGAAAATGCCAGTCCACCAACGTCAACTCCAACACCCAGTGACACAGAAGAACCAGAGATCATTGGACTGACCTGCCATGAACCAGAAAATGCTTTGACATGCTCAGATGGGATTGATGCGGCCTGGCGATGCGAGTTTGACATACCGCTGTCACAACCTTTAGAGAAGCACTTGCCCAGCGAAGAAGAGACCTGGTTGCTCTTAGCCACGTCGGCTAAGAAACAGCGATCTGAAGTCAAACTGACTGAGCTCACCCGAGAAGAGCGGATGGAGTTTGAAAAGGCCAAGAGGTCTGAAATTGCCAATTGGATTCAAACCGGTACTCTGACCAAGGTCTTACGAAATCAGATCCCCGAAGATCAGATTCTCCGTAGCCGTTGGATCCTGACTTGGAAACCATTAGATCAAAATGAACAAACTCAGACCAAATCCCATAAAGCCAAAGCCCGACTGGTTATCCTGGGATATTTAGACCCCCAAATCGAAAATATTCCACGAGATAGCCCCACCCTGAATAAGACCTCAAGGATGTTAATCTTACAGGTGTTGGCAACCCACATGTGGCAAGCTTGCAGTTTCGATATCAAAGCCGCCTTCTTGCAGGGACAGCCACAGTCGTCCCGCGTGATGGGCCTAGATCCGGTACCAGAAATGCGACAGGCCATGTCCATGAAGCCAAATGAGATCGGCCGTCTGAACAAAGGGGCATATGGCCTGATCGATGCACCCTTCCTTTGGTACTGTGCTTTGGTCAAGGAACTGACAAGTTTGGGATTTGAAACAAGCCCCTTCGATCCATGCCTATTTATTCTCAGAGAGCCTCAAAGTTCCTCAAAAGCAGGTCAAATAGCAGGTATTTTGGGAATTCACGTTGACGATGGGATCGGGGGAGGTAATGACTATTATCATCAGAAAATTGCCTTGCTTGAAAAGAAGTTTCCTTTTGGGTCAAAGAAAATGTCAAGTTTTACCTTCACGGGAATTGAAGTCAACCAACGGGCCGACAGTAGTATTGTACTCAGCCAATCAGCATATGTCCGAAAGATCGCTCCGATTGCCATCGATCCAAACCGGAAAACTCAAATTGACCTCAAGGTAACAGAACCAGAACGTTTGGCACTGAGGGGAGTCATTGGCAGTTTACAATATGCAGCAATCAATACCCGACCAGACCTGTCAAGCCGTCTTTCCATGTTACAATCCAACATCAACCAAGCAACAATTGAAACACTTCAGGAAGCCAACAAACTCCTCCATGAAGCCAAGAAGTACCATGACATGACCATCACCATCAAATCCATTCCCGAAAAGGATTTCCGTTTCATGGCATTTTCTGATGCATCATTCTCATCAGCATCCAAACCCGATTCACATGCTGGCCTGGTAATCGTTGGTACCCATCAAGATATCCTTAAGAACCACCAATGCCCAATAAGTCCAATTTCATGGGGATGCCGAAAGATACAGAAGGTAGTCGTCAGTACTTTAGCTGCAGAGACCATGTCATTGTCAGCGGCACTGGATCAATTGGCCTGGCTGAGAATCTTTTGGAGCTGGATACACGACCGTCAGACTCAATGGAAACACCCTGAGCAGGCCCTTGAAAAGATACCTGAAGCAATTTCTAGCCCAACTTTTCGAGAACACCCCGATGTAGCAGTAACAGACTGCAAAAGCCTTTTTGATTTGACCACTCGAACAGCCCCACCTTCATGCACGGAATTCCGAACACAACTAGTGGCTCGTGCCATTAAGGAATCGTTGCAAGAGGGTGTTGCCTTGAGATGGGTGTCCAGCGGTGCTCAGCTCGCTGATTCGCTAACCAAGGCGATGGATGCACACTTCTTGAGGGAAACGCTTAGGGTAGGTACCTATCGTCTTTGCGATGAGGAGGCCACCTTAAAGGCCCGTGCCAAGACACGAGATAGGATCAAATGGCTTCGTGAGCAGCATGATACCAGTTCTACCAATAAAGAAGAATTTTTGGGAGTGTGATTTCCATACATGCTGCTCTCCCCATAACTAATCCATAGATAACTCTTGAACACCCGGTCCTTTCAATCACCAGTGCATTCGTTGCCTATGAGGCATTTGCATCCGCCAGAACACTGGCTCAGGAGAGCCCTGGCGTAGGGTGGGCGGGACGTGTTTCTTGAGAGCCATTGCAATAGTGGCAGGGACCACTTCGTTGTGCTTGGGCGAGGCGCCCTCCTTTTCCAATCGCAGAAGGACTGCAGCGGTGGAGGCAAAACAGAGATTAGCGCGAGGCCGCGCAGCTGGCCAGGACGTGCGGAGGTGTTGGCCTGGGAGTTAAGACCAGCTTCATAATATATATATATATGTTGCCACCTGCTTCAATTTGTGAAGAGAGGACCCAGACATCGGGTAAGTCTGTTTTTAATCTGGCCACGCTCAACAACATATGCCAAAACCTGCCCCCTGAAGCGGAAGATTTGGACATGTTCAAGATACAGTTGCCTGTGCACCTGAAACGTTCTGTTGCCAAGCTCGCTCTTGAGAATTTGGTGTCTAGAATTCTTGGACCGGTAGTTCTTGTCGTTGGAAACCTGCTTTTGGCACCTTCTTCTGTTATTTGTAGGCCTTGCTTTTGGAACCGCGTATTTCCTAGCCCTGTCTTCCACAACCTGTTTTGAAACCATGCTAAGACTGGGCAGCTGGTTTGGCTACCGATATTTCGGAACCCCGGATTTCATCAACGGACCAGGGATACGGAGCAATTGGAGAATCACTATGCCGTCACTTTCTATGCGTCTTGTGGTGGCAGCCCCAGAATGCTCGCAAAGTGCCTAGGATGGTTAGTTGTTAAGCTGTAAGAAGGTGGGTAGCATTTGAATGTATCTAGATGTATCTATCTAGATGTATCTAATGATGGTGTATGGAGATACTTAGGATATCTTAGGATGTTACCTCCTTCTGAGTCGAAGATAGGGCGTCAGAGTGAAATGGCTTGACAATGGAGATGACATCAATATCCTCAGATCTGGTTTCCATCTGTCGCAAGTTGCAACTTTTTGGGCATGGTGCAAAAAATTGGGTTGGCAAGCGCTGTGACTGAGTAGACTATATATCTATATATATATAATATATATAATATATATATATATAATATATAATATATATAATATATATAATATATATAATATATATAATATATATAATATATATAATATATATAATATATATATAATATATATAATATATATATATATAATATATATAAAATATATATATATAATATATAATATATATAATATATATAAAATATATATATATATAATATATAATATATAATATATATATAATATATATAATATATATAATATATATAATATATATAATATATATAATTAATATATATATATTATATATAGATAGTTTTTACATGTTTACACTGACTTGATCTGACCGGGTCCTGTTTTTCTTAGCTGCCCTGAAGATGCCATCACAAAAAATATTCTGCCGAGGCTGGGCATTTATGTCCCTGTCATCATTGTTTTCGGTGCTGTACCAAGAAAAGGCCGTGTTGACCAACGGGGGTAGCATTTCCTCAGCCATTTTGTGGTGTCCGGAATATATCCACCTCATTCATAACAGGGGAACCACCAAAGTGGAGCCTGCACGGGTTGTCCTGAGAGGTATGAGGGGAACTAAGGGCTCTTGCTCGTGTGCAATTTGCCAACTACCCAGGAAGTTTAGGAAGCAAACAACGAAGCAGCATATGGTCTTGTCGCTCCAGGGTCCAAAGGTATTGGCATTGCACTAAGTATTCTAAGTTGCAAATATTCTCTTTTACATTTCATGGCATATGTTTCATCGTGACTTATATACTGGGACTCCGGGCCGACTCCGCATCAATTCCTCCGTCCCTGCAGTATCCTGACTTTGCACTGGGCATCTTGCTGTTTGGTAACTGTGTCTTTGCCCTGTCACGCTGGCCTGTGCTTGGGCCATTGGGGAGCCGAGAAGCGCTGAAATTTTCCAGTCCCAGCTCATCCCAGCGCCAGGGCGTGTCTCTACTTCTACGGCTATCACTGGACCCGGATGTGGCGGCACTTCACGGTGCCGGGGGTGGGCGTTGCACGTTGATAATTCAGGCTGCCTGGATTGCGTCGCTTAAAAGGATATGATGAGATTTAAGTTCACCTGACTAAATTGACTTTAGTTTACCTTGTTAAATGGGTTTGCAGCCACAGAATTTTGCTTCAAACCTGGCTCTCGTTTTTTTTTGGTGTGGTACTCGTATGTAGTTGGGAGGCCTTACCACCCATCCACGCCCCAATTCTATGCCCGCCGCCAGCAAAATCGCTTTCGACCACTCTGGATCCCTGGCTTGCTGGGATTGATGTGCGGCATCCCAAATGGATGTGGCGGAGCAATGAACAGCTGAGCTGGCTTCCTCCGAGAGGTTTCCCGTTTTATCCGAGCTTTAGCCAGTTTTTGGCCAGTTTTTGGTTGAACCTTCCAGATTTTCCAGGTGGGATGTTTTTTTTGGAAGGACCACTTGATGGTTTTCATCATTTTCCATGGCCATCCATGGCCAATGGAGACTAGCAAGGTGCCTCCATCTGCTGACGCCCTTGGATCTGATGAAGCGCTTGGATGATCCGGTGACCCCAGGGGGGTTGGTCAAGGGATGTGTCCTTGAACTGGATACCCCAAAATCGCACTTTTTTCGAGGGGACATGATTGTAAAGCATTGGAATTTGGGGTAGGCTGTTTTCAGATAAACTCAAATGTCCCCACTTTGGGAATTTTCAAGGTATTGAACATCACCACTGGAGGGTTGGTGAAACAGGTAAAACATTGGACCTTTTCACAACCCTCAAATCTATGGGGTCGGATATGAGGAGAAAGACCCATAGAAAACTGGGTTGGTTTTGGATGGTTTTGGCACCCTAGGGCCCAGCCAAATAGCTGACCACTTGACTAGTCGGAACCCGGGCATCTCTTTCCCAGAAAGATCGAATTCAGCCTTGCCGGGGGGAATTGATGGGCCCCACCTTTTATAAATTAGTTTATAACAAAATCTAACCGTAGATGGTATATCAACGATAAATCCCAGTTAGCCAAGTTGTGAAGCAACTGACGTATCTTAGTTGCCCCTTCCTGTACTCTCTTCGCGCATGCCAGGGCTGGTGGAAGACAGTTTGCTCAGTGTACAATGATGAGCCCCTCTGGCTGCAAACTTTGGGGAAGCGGGGATCCAGCATCAGTGATTCGCAACTTGTGTTTCTTTTTTTGTTTTTGTGGTTGATGTTGATGTTGATGTTGAGGATGATGATGATGATGATGATGATGACGATGATGATGATGACGATGATGCTGATGATGCTGGTGGTGGTGGTGGTGACGGTAGTGGCGGCGGCGATTGTATGTGGGATTATGTGCGGGACGATCCAACTCACCATGTGCACCTGCCAGGTGGTGGTGGGTTGCTGACGTACGCATCATTGAATTGCAGGGAGCCTAGGTAATTTGACGAGCTCACTGCGAATTTTACCCTACTTACTTGTGGTGTGAGAGTCCCTGGTCCGGACTTTCATGTTATGACTGTTATGACAACTAGAAGCTGGAGTCTTAAGTGCGATGACAGCCAATGCATGCCGTTAAGCGGGGAACATGTTCCTTGGGCAGGCTCGAGCATGAACAAAAAGTGAAGGCACCGGGAAGCATAGATGTTGATCATCTTTACAAAGCAAACGAAGCTGAACGAAGCTGCTTTTAGGGTACTGGATGACTTGATTAATTTCCAAGTGGATCCCAAGGTTTGTGACTGCGGCCGCTCTGCTTTTGATCATTTTACACATTCAGGCAGGTGCTGCAGATCAGTCAGGATCCATGAGATTTGATTACGCGATGATAAGCGTGGAGGTAGTGGAGGTGGCAAGTACTGTACCTCAGAATTGAGAATGGAATGAGGGATAGGAACACTCAGAAAGAACTTGAAAGGGCCGGAGTCTAGGGATACAGGCTGATACAGCCGTAGGATACAGCCCCTTTCTTCTGAGGGCGTCTTCACTGGCATGAAGAATGCTGCTGTGGTGGCTCTGGCCCCGGTGAGAGTGACAAGCGACGCCGTCATTTCGCAGCTGCGGATGTGGGCAAGTGGCAACCTACCTTTTAAGAGGCATACGGCATACTGTGTGAAAGGTACATATGAATATGTAAAATAATAATGATAGTGATAATTATAATGATAATGATATTGATAATGATAATGATAATAAGAGTAATAGTAGTAACAATAATGATAAAAATAATGATAGTGCTAATGATAATGATGATAATAATACTCTAATGATCACAATAGTAATAGTAATAGTAATGATAATAATAACAATAATGACAATGATAATCGTAGTAATAGTATTAATATCCTTGTCAATCCATGCTTGGTGGCAGACAAGTCTATTTGTTCTTGTGGATCCGACTTTGTGGCATTGGGCTCAAAAGTCATCAGCTACGATAGAACATTGATGCACACAAGATTCACAACCGGTTGGTGCCAAAGACTTCCGACCCGACAGAGTGCCATCAGACCGGAAAGAAGCTCGTAGCTATTTCACCAGCAAAATCACTAAATATACATCTCCCCAAAAGTTTCACCAACTTTTTACCATGTATTTAACTTCCAACAACTTTCAACCACATCTCAAAAACATCAAAAAACATCAAAGTTCCCAAAGTTGTCCTTTGGTTTCACTTCGTTTCACCATGGCACCGCAGGGTCGCATCGTTTTGGCTCCCCACGCGCCACAGCGGATCCTGGATCTCTATCGCAGCCTGGAGAGCCCCCGGCGCCTGGGCAACACGCCACGGCGCCGCACCGCGCACAGCGCGCAGAAGAGACGCCCCAGCTCGGCGCCGGCGGCGCGGGCGCAGCGTTGCTGGATAGAATGGATAGAACCAGGAAAAATATCCGATGAAAAAACGATGGGTAAAACTTTTGGGATTCGATGTTGGCTAATGATTAGCTAATGAGGGCAGGGATTGAAATTTGCGAAATGATGTAGAGTTGGAAGATAATGAACATACCCCCGAAATGATGGTGATACGATGAGTGAAACATCTAGCGGGGATTATGTACTATTCCAAGGGCTTGGAACCCAATTGTAACCAACCGACGAGGAGTCGAGGATGGGTCATGCCACTCATGTCAGTTGATCCAGGGATGATCATCCAGTAGCTCCAGGCGCCTGTTCAGTTTTTTAGGGAATCATTTCCGCAACGATTCAGCAATTGTTAAACTGTATCAAATGTATCATCAGCCATCACGGCAGTATCCAGTAATTGTTTCATTCCGTCTTAGGGAAGATGGTGGTTCTCTCCTCTCACACAGTAGCACTGCTGGTCTACTGCGGCCTGGCATCTAAGGCAGTGCTCGTCACGAAGATCACAACGGCAGCAGTTGCTAAACCCAGTTTATGGTGATGGTCAGTGCTGGTGCGGAGTTGTATTTGGTTTGCTCCAACAGGCACAGTTATAGGCTGTGGGTTTCAGTCATGAGCATAGACCCACGTTCTTTATTAAGTAGGACTTCCAATTTTCCAACCATTACTGTCCCTTCCAGGCCTTTCCAGGCCTTTCCAGGCCCTTCCAGGCCCAGAGCCAAGGTTGGAGCATTGGTACGCTCTTCTGCAAGGAACGCGTGGGCGTGGGGCATCTTCCCCGTCCCTCCGCCTGCACCTTCCGGCGCCCGCAGAGTGCAGGCGCCACCGGGTCCATGACCGCGCCGCCGCATCAGCGACCGGTGTCCTGGCGGAAGGGGGTTGAAAGCAACAAACATTGGGCTATAACTTGCGGTAACTTACGGAGTTATCACCAACAAGAATGTGGATATCATGGGATATAATATATATATATAATATAATATATAATATAATATATAATATATATATATTTATGGGGGTGTTTGAAAATGGGGGATTCACCACCAATCGATGGCCATTTTAGTGGAGAAAATGATGATTCAGCAGGATTTAGAGGTATCCTATTTTCAGACAAACCCATGTAGTGTGAACAAAACCCAAACATGACACCTGCAAAACCATGACTTTGACATTTTGGCATGATTATGAGCTCCAAAAGTAAACCATTGGCCCAGTTTGAGTAGACTTTTTGTGGGATGCAGAGACTGAAACAACAGTTGAACTCCAACTTCCTTTGCGAACGCATTTCCTCAGCGTTGGCAAGTGCACGAAGCTTCGGAAACCCATGGGTAGGCAGTCATGAAGTAGGCAAGTTATATTTGCGCAGGCTCCTCGCGTAGGCTACGGATACCAGTTATGAGCTTTTACATTTTTCATTTGTGATGTTCGCATGGGCAAATGAGAAGGCAGTTTTAGGATCTTTACAGACCAAAGGTGTGCACGACGGCTTCCTTTTCTAATAAAACGGATCCTGCAGCTCTAGTAGTGGACAGGCTCCACGCACCCCTTCAGAAACATCAATCATTTGGCCTTTTGGGGGTGATGATATACAGATATATACAGTATTGTATTATATTTGTTTTTGAAAAAATGGTTTCCTTTTTGAAAAAATGGTTTACTGTAACTGTATATTGTATTATATTGTATATATAACAGTTTACTAATGGTTCCTCTGCAATCTGGTGAGTTAATCCCAGGGAGCGGAGCTACTACGGTCCCACCTCGGTGGGGTCGACCAACCCGAGGTTTTCCTGGTGGGTGAAAACGGCGTCGACCCCAAAGATTGTGTGCCTTGGCAGTGCGGGTTTGAGATGTTTGAGATCTGACAGATGTGTCAATGGGGAAAGGCATGAATCAAAGCCTGCAGACTGCTTGATTCATCCGGTAGATGGCATGGAGATTTCAGTAACATTTTCTAGTCCAAGAATGTTTGTCTATTCCAACGTCTTGAAAATGGCCTGGTCATCTTGATGCAGTCCACCAAGGATCTTGTCATTGCCATGTCAGAATATGCAGGGCTCGTGCAACAAACGTCTCAAAAGTCTCAACTGAAGATGCTGCAGTCCATTAGCACTAGTGGTCACTAGCGGTCAGGAGCTGTAGGCATTTTCACCATTGGGAATAGCTCTCATAGCTCTCATTGCTCGCAAACACGAAATCTCCCATGCACAATTTGTTGGCCCTCATGCCGTCGATTTTCATAACTTCAGTGTCTTCCACTACGGTTCTTGTTCGGCTGTAAGAAAGACTTTAACGAATATTGGGATTTGACAATAATGATGATACAATAAAGTTGATCAATGATGGTGGGTTGATGGTAGATTCTTGTAGCTCTGAACTGTGAAACATGATCCAGTCGTCAAGAATCCGCTGCTGTGATTTTGGCTCCAACCCAAAGTCCATATCCGGAAGAAAAGGCACTGAGAGCTGGTGTATTCATTTGATGGCAAGCAGTGGTCAAAATTATCAGCCCCCAAATAGATCGTGTAGTTTGGTACTAACATATACTAGCTTTTGTCATCGTTTGTCCTCCCTTGTCATTCCATTTTTCGCCCAGGTCGACATCCACAACCCACGTCGTTTCTCGAGCTTGGAGCGGACCTTTGCAATGCGTGGCGTACGACATTTGGATCCTTTGGTGCCAGTGGCGCCGGGAACACTGCCAAGGTACCGGCGAATGGGGCATTTATTCATGCCATTTCATGCCCAATGGATGGCCATTGATATAGGGAAACTGATGATCATCCATATGATCAACAAAATTTTGGGCCATGGTCAGACACGCCACTTTTTGGGCCAAGGATAACATCGAGGCACCCGTGACTAGCTGCTGGACTTCATGAATTATTTTAGCTAAGGAAAGACCAGACGCCTTATATACATGTGTATATATTGAATATATACATATATATATACATATCATATATATATATACAATATATATGTATATATATATACAATATATATATACATATATAATATGTATATATATATATATATTCAGTTTTGATATGACAAACTTTTCCCCCCTACAGTGACAATCGCCCCTTACATTGTGAAGGCATATGTCCAGGGCCTCCGGCCTCGGAACTTTCCAGGCCGGACTCGATGGGCTACAGCAGCAGTTCCAGTACGAGGCCCCTTCTGAGGGACGGATCATCCAAGGCTTTGACTTTCAGGGATTCAGTTGGGTTTATGAGTTTATGATGATAATTATCCATGATTATTGGGGTTTCTGATAATGATTATCCATGATTATTGGGGTTTATGATAATGATTATCCATGATTATTGGGGTTTATGATAATGATTATCCATGATTATTGGGGTTTATGATAATGATTATCCCTAAAATAACTAAATTTTGATTGGGTTTATACGATTATCCCTATAATTTGGGTTTATGATAATGATTATCCATGACTATTGATGATTGGGAGCCAATTTTCTATATCATTGAGATGATTGAGATGATTGAGTTGGGATAACCATCAGTTGGGAGCCCATTTTTTCGATATCATCTATAGATAATTGAGGCTTCACCCCATGCCTCTGCCATTTGAGTTCACACTCCGGATGACTCCTAGACAATTGACGAATGTCGGGCAGCACAAGAGAACCGGCTGTGGGGAAGGCAGTTCTTCAGACAAGAAGAGGGATCTTGTAGTCCTGACCAGAAGAGGGGTCTTGTAGTCTTTGCAACCATGCAATTGTGGAATGATATCTGCGGTTAGGTACAATGGTACAATTTCACGCTACGTGTAGTGACCTTTTTTCAGTGCTTACTGGAAGGGGCCCATGATTTTTTCTGGGGACCATTCTTTCCGAGGACCATCTCTGACTTCGCACCGATCCCAGCTTTTCGACCCGTGAGCTGAGTGGGGCATGGAGCCATTTGGGTGGTCCGAACGACGCTGAGGAGCCTCCAGGCATTGCAGCCCTGTGAAAGTGTGGTGTCAAAAAATCGTAAAGATGCTGGCTTGTTCTTGCTACTGAATTCTACTATGATTGAAGATAACAGCCAACCTCAAACAGCATCAAACATATATATATATATACACATCTATTTATATCCTCTTCCATCTTCCAATGGGGTTGGTGCTTTGGTGCTTACAGCTACAAAATCCCGAGGCAGCTGCGTCGAAACCTCGTTAAATAGGACGGGATTCAGACGGCCAAATGTGCCAAGCGGAAATGTGAAAAAGTCGCAGCTGAAAGGACTTGGTGAAGATGCGTTGGCTAAGAGCTCAAGTGGTGTATTGATGTGTATTGATGTGTATTGATGTGTATTGATGTGTATTGATGTGTGTTGTGTTTTCGGGCGATGCACAGCCATGTGTTTCTGATCCACAAAGAATCAAATATTCTTAGGATGTCTACGGTACAAACACCGAAGACATCCAAATACATTTCGCTTGCTTGAAGCGTGTGAAGTTTCATGCAAACCAGTCCTTGCCCAGACGATAGACTCTATCTGGCTTTGTCCAAAAATGATGGACGACCTCCCCTCCAAACAACAGGAAAAACCAAGTTGGAAACGATGATCAACCATCTTTTCCTATCATTTTCCCATCATTTTGTGGGTTTTCCCATGGTTTTCCCATGGGTCATGGGTTATTTTTCCATGGTTTTCCCGGCAGATCACTTGGTTCCTGGTGGTTCCTGCTGTGCCTCGAGGTCATTGGCACGATCTTCGCGCCGCTGGGATTGATGGTGCTGGAGAGCACTTGGCTCAGGCACGGAGGGCGCCAAGGATCCACTGGTTTTGTGAAGAAAATGTGAAAACATATGAATATACAGATTCAGTATATGATTATATATATATATATATATATATATGATTATATATATTATGTATATCATATGAATGTATATCATATGAATGTATATCATATGAATGTATATCATATGAATGTGTGTATATATATAACGTGTATATATATATATATTATAATGTGTATATATAATTATATATATACTGTATATATATATATATCGGGATAGTCTGGTTAAGAGCCCCCAATGAGAGCCGTCCATTCCACAGCAGTTGAACACGAACGGTATCAGGGGGGCGTGTGAAACGTGCACAACTTCTGTGAAACGTGCACAACTTCTGTGAAACGTGCACAACTTCTTGCAAACGTGGACAACTTTATGAATTCGATGACAAGTTCTCAAAAACTGCAAAGAGCTCTTAATCAGCGGAGCCCACACATATATATATTTATAGTAGGCTTGGCTTGGGTTCATGTCAGGTTGGTGTTGCAGCAGTTGCAAAGAACAAAACCTCTGTGTTTCTCGGGCGTGGAAGAATCGAACAATTCATCGGTTGTTTGTGGTGTATCTGCAACTTTGATCATTTGATCAACGATGTTTTCGATCGCCATTAGAGTTGATCAAATATGTCGTGCATATGGGGGTGGGTAAAAACCTATTATTATCAATTCTAATGGGATGAACATCCATTTACCAGCTATTTTGGGGTTCACTAGATGCCAGGGTTTTGACCAATAGCCATATGAGTTTGTCCTAGGGTCCTAGGGTATACATTGTCCAAATGGCAATCTGATAGGGCACCTAATGATTGACCACTGGATTTGAAGGTGCCCCGACTTTCAAAAAACATACACACACCCAAAGCACGTACTCCTTTGTGCAATTTCTGGGAGACCTCATTTGGCCAGGGCCTCTGCGTGGCAGCTCAAAGCTCAGCCTCTGCGTATGTGCTCATGAAATGAGTTGAAACCAGCTTTGCAACACCAGTCATAGATGGATCATGATGGATCTATGAGAAATAGTTTTATTACAATAACTGTTTCACAAACTGTTCCATGAGGTGTTCAGTAAATCATTCTATTTCCATACCCCTTGTTGGACGTATTTTTCACCAAGGCATTACCTTATGGTGGGACCAAAGTGCGCTACCAAATAGCTGGGTCTCGTTGAAACATGTTGATCAAGTATTGTAAGAATGAAACACCAAGGTGATGCATCCATTGACCTCCCACTGGACAAACAGAGAGCACATTTTTGAAGGAACAAGTTTGACTTCTGGGACACTTGGAATCCTCGTCATTGACTCAAAATATCTCAAAATACGAAGACTCCTTGTGACCACTGTGACTCTGGCAGTTGGAGCAGGTACTGGTAACACTGAGATCGCGGTGGCGGCTCCAGCACCGTGGAGAACTGTTCATCCCACAGTGCGATACTGCTGATTTGGGCGTGAAGACCCAGGATTGTCCCGTTTTTTTTCGGGCTGATGAAGCTATAGTTCTGTATAGTTACTATATAGTCACTATATATCAGCTAGCAGCATCTAGTAGCTAGAAGTGCATTGATTTTTAGCAGGGCACGGTTTGACGCATACTCGCTTCTCATTGCTAAGCTTCATGTGGCTGCTCAAAGAGGGGAACACCCGCACTCCCAAGAAGCAGTCATTAGAACTTGTGGGCACTGGAGCCCGTTTAAGAATCCCTTTTCCACAAAAGTTCTGGGGATTCTCAGCACTTCGTTTCGCGGGGGCACTGCTTCTCTGGACTTCTGGCACATTCTCTTTCACCCAGTTTATAACAGCTGAACATTTCATATTAGGCAGATGGATCTTATTTAATCATATTTAATCTATCTTCTCAAAACGGCAGTCTCAAAGTTCTATTTTTTCGCAATGCTGGCATCGGCGAATTTCAAGACTCCCAAGGCCATGGCATCTCAATGATGGGTTTTGGTCTGTCGGATGTTGAAAAATGTGGTTCATCAGAAAACCATTTGTAAACAATTCTTTGAAAGTGTCGCGAATGATACTGAAGACTCTTTTGGCCAACTTTGATCTCATCATTGATTTGTTGAAGAATGTTTAGAGCCGAAAGTTATATAAGGCTTGCCCTTGCACCTTCACCTTTTTAAAAATTGATATTAAAAAAAATGGCATCACCCGTTGAAGACCCCGCACCTGGAAGACAAAAGCCGTGCTCAGGGGAGCTACCCAAAGGGAGGGAGCCGTAAGCTTGAAGAAATATGGCTGGGTCAAAAACCCTAACGGTCCCAAAATCAGTCGGTAAGCATCTCCACACAGAGTATTATGTTTTTTTTTTAAACCATAGTTTCATGATGTTTCATGTATGTCGATTTTGGAGCCAATTTGAGATGAACTCCAGTTCCAAACTTTTTTTTTGCAACGGCTAACCTGGCTGTGAGCTATGTGCAGCTTGAGGTATTGGCTCACAGCATGTCAACGATCTCCAGTTTTGGGCAATCGGCCCCAGTAAGAATCGGAGTCCTCCTGCCACAGAGGCAACGATGCCACACTTGTTTGAGTACGACATGACAGAAACATCCTGAATTTCTTCCACAAATCTCGGTCGATGCTCAAGGCAGTCCATTTTGGCTTCGACCATTGCACCAACTTGGCATCGCCCATGAAGCGCACCGCCTCCCTGTGCTTGACGGCGCCCCGGCGCCGGAGGACGGTCCGCAGGGTTTCGAAGCCGTCAGGGAAGGCGGTGAAGAGGAGACCAGGAAGCGCCATGAAGCGGAGACTTGGCGGGAGACGAGAGGATGGGGGATGAAACTGGATGAAAGATTGACATTTTCAGCCATTTCCTCCTCCATATTTTATTTTGGGGGATGAAGATCCATTTGAATTGGTTTTAATTGTGGTTTCAGCAGCTAGTATAGTTTCCATTCCCGACCAACAGTTGACGATTATAGAGGAACAGTATCAGGACGGGGCAATACCAACTACTGGTAAGCTGGTAAGCCCAAAATGGGAGTTGATGATTCCGAAGCTTGACCCAATGAGGAGCTGCAAGGTGGTCTTTTTGAAAGGCATATGGAAAGGAGACTGTGGAAGTGTTGTTTTCAACGTTACTAACCCAAGGTGCGAGATCCAACTTGGATTGATTTCGGCCAAGTTTTTAATTACCAAGAGTCGGCTATTAGCTATTACTTTCAAGCTATTTCATTGGCACCATAGATCTACAGCGATGGGAAAACATCCCAGAAGCTGGTCAGATGCCACTTGGTATCACCGAGGAAGCGCGTCGCAGCGCTGGGTCGAGCGCGTCTGGACAGACGCGAGGTGAGAAATGGGCTGTGGCTCCGTTGGGACAACGAGCGGATCGACATTCAAGGGATGATGTTAACCCTGGATTCACAAACCCTGGTCTATCGGTCCATTATATAATTAGGGGTTAAGCGGGTTAACCCCCGTAGTGATCATCTGCCAGGAGATTATACCCCACTTATCCCAACCACGGTGAAAGAGCCGGCCGGGACTTTCAATGCGTGGATTTCAGGCCCGCGAGGATGAAGAGAGTGAAGAAGAGTCCACAGATGATGAGGATGGCATGGGTGGCCCTGGGGCCTCCAAGTCACTATTAAAGTTTAGACAGCCTGCGCCCACCAATAGTGACCTTTTGGACTGACGGTCTCTCTAGTAGGGATTATCAACCTTCATTGCCTACTGTTAGTGTTTGTGGGTGGACACTCTGTCTTTTTTGTCAAAAACAATGATGTATATATAAAGATAAGCTGTAGTTCTTGGAGCAGCTCAGGAACTGACCATAGTGTTGTTTAATCGACCTATAGTACTATCAGGACGGACATCCATTAGTGGGGGGCAAAAACGAACTCGTAGCCATCGGGGTTCGCCTTTTCAGCGAAATCTCCTTCAGCCACAACAGTCACATTGTAAATAGCTAAAATGGTAAGTTCAAGATCAACTGAGCTCAACTAGAAGCTTGCAGGAGCCTCACCTATTGTAAGTTGGACAACCCGCTTTTTTGCCGAAAATCTGTCACCAGAGTCACCAGAGCTTCTGCTTGAGAGATCGCCCTTGCACTCTGGAGGACAGTGATGATGAAGAGTTGGAGAAATGGGAAGAAAAACTGATAGCAATGGAGGACCGACGGGAAGATTGTTGCAATATGGGCTTGTCTGAGAATAGTATACCTGTAAATCTGGTTAATATGGTTAATTATCAGTATCCCTAGTTGTTGATAGTGAGTTTTGTCAGACACATCCAAATATTGCATGTTTAGTTAGTGATATATATATAATTATATACACACACATACATCATACATCCCAATATACATCCCAATATATATATGTATATATATATATATGTATATATATATATATATGTATATATATATATATAAATATCAATATATATATATATATCAATGTACATATATATATATATGTATGCATACACATCCAATAATCCCAATATATATATATGTATATATGTATATGTATATATGTATATGTATATATGTATCTATGTATGTTATGTTATGTTATGTTATGTAATGTAATGTAATGTAATGTAATGGCATGTAATGGCATGTAATGGCATGTAACGGCATGTAATGGCATGTATGTCTGTCTGTCTGTATGTCTGTATGTCTGTATGTCTGTATGTCTGTCTGTCTGTCTGTCTGTATGTATGTATGTATGTATGTATGAATGACGCTCCTGGGGCACGTCGCCTTTACCCCCAACGAACCAGATCTTTGGATGAGGCCCGGTTGGATTGAGTCTGGAAACACACTTGATAACACGGGCAGATGCATGAACGAAATCCCAGTTGACATTTGGTGGCAGTACGCCACAGATACTATTTTGTTACATTGCCAGGCAACCGCATGCGATGACAATCCGCAAGCCATGGGGGCCCGTGGAAGTCTGGGCTTTGATACCACTGTGGGTGAAGCGAATGAGGATGGCTGGATCTGGCTACATGGAGACTCACCATGTCGGGGAATTGGAATGGTTCACGCTTGCGGTTGCGAAACCGTCCAAAATCCCTGCAGGCACGTTTGTGTGAATGCAGCATTCAATGTTGTTCTGAGTCATTGCACCGAACATCTAGCTCCATCCTCACAAAGGAACTTTTTTTAAACAATCCGTGTGATGAGATTTTGGCGGATGGTGAATGTTGTTTTTCTCGCTTTTTCCCTATGCAGGATTGTCTTTACAAATGATACAAGTGGTTCGAACGCACCGCGTTCAAGACTTAGCTCCCTTGCTTGTGACTGCTGGAATATTGGAACGCAAGGAAGAGTCACCATCGGCGCCATTCCGTCTGGATCAACCTCGATTGTCGGCCATCTGGAGCCAATTCTGCTTGGTTTTTATCCCATCGCAGGCTGAGGGCTCACCATTGGTCAAGTGCACGTGCTGGTATCACCAACACTATGGCCATTGTGTTCACTGCTATTCAGTTGCCACCTACAAAGGCTTCATGCGAGAGGAAGCACCATGTCAGACAGCAGAGGAGGCTGCAATGGCCTTAGGGGATTCGGGCGATGAGGCAAGAATCCCTGAGACCAGGTCCAAGAGGCAGAAGCGCAAACGCGGTTGAAACAAGGGCCACATGAGATGTGTCTAGCAGACATGTGCTACCTCAGATGTCAATCTCCCAAGAGACTGCTCCAACAAATCTGACGCGTGGCGAAAAAGATTGCGAACCACTTCGTTGCAGGGCCTCACGTGTGATGAATCAACTGAGCGTGCATTTGTTGAAGTCAGAAAGAAACAGGATTATCAGATCAAAAAATGTAGTCATGCAATTGGATCTTGCTTGATTGGGATTCACGAAACTGTTGGAAACAGGATTTGCTTGACTTGAAACTTTCTGCTGATAGCAGTCCTTGCTGTGTCCTTTATACGTTGTGGTCATATGAAAATCGTCAGTGAAGCATTGACCTCAAGAACCTGAGCTCCGCACTTGAGGCTCATATCGTGACCACAGTCATGACGCGTGGTGATCCAATGTTTTTGTGCCTCGGTTGGTTGCGACAGGTCATAAAAGTTTGGAGGAAAGTCACATCCCAGATTACAGAAGGTTAAGCGAAACACCTGTTATAGACTCCAGTAAGGTTTTTGATTCCCATCTCTGAGACGTAGCTTTAGGAAATAGGGAGGAGAGGAGGATGTTGGCTTGCAAAAGAATTCGATGCGTTTACACGCAAGAACAGAAGACACGGATTCAAGGATGCGTAAGTGAAAGATAAACAACCCTGATATGCAATGTTTTTTTTTGGGGGCTGATTGCAACCAAATAGTTCGACACGGGTGCTGTAACAGGCCAGTGTATTGTCTAATCACGAAAAGCCGTTTTTAATAGCGAATGCTAATTCCTAATCACGAAAAGTGTATGTCGACTAAATGCGAATAGCAGTACCAGATACCATACTGATGCAGAAATGTTTTGGGATTTGGAATCGTTTTTCATTGTGGCTGCAGCATTTGGTGAAAAAACATGCGCGATGCCTCAATCGTTGCTCATTGTGGCTGCAGCATTTGGTGCAAAAACATGCGGGATGCCGCGTGTGATGGGTTCGCTGGCTGGTGAAGAACTGGCCACACAAATCCAGGCTGGGTGTTTCTTAATCGGACTTTTGACAGTCTGGATAACTCTGTGAGCTTGTTTTCATAGTAATCAAACAGAACTCGCATGGTGGCAGGCCGTGCAAAAGTTGAATCAGTCGCGGCGCAAACGTGGCTTTCCTCCTTTGCCTTTGCCAATGGAGCAGGCAGACCAGGATGCAGCAAAGCGCTTAACCACAAACCTTGCTTTTCTTAACCCCGAAGTGTACTTTCCTTAACTATGAATCTTCTGGAACTTTAACCACGAACAAGTTTTATACCACGAACTCCGCAGTATGATGCTCCGCAGGCTGGAATTTGAGTATCTCAAGGTATCTCAATGCTACGAAGCTAGTATCTCAAGCTACGGAGCTGGAATTTGAGTATCTCAGTATGTATCTCAAGCAAGGTATCTCAAGCACGCTGGTATCTCAAGCTACTGAGCTGGTATCTCAAGCTACGGGGCTGGAATTGCACTGGTGTCTCAAGCTACGGGGCTGGAATTTGAGTATCTCAAGGTATCTCAAGCTACGGGGCTGGTATCTCAAGGTATCTCAAGCTACAGGGCTGGTATCTCAAGCCATGGAGCTGGTATCTCAAGCACAGGGCTGGAATTTGAGTATCTCAATGTATCTCAAGCTACCGGGCTGGTATCTCAAGCTACTGAGCTGGTATCTCAAGCTATGGGGCTGGAATTGCACTGGTGTCTCAAGGAAACATTTTGCAGTGACGGTAAGCTATGTTCGCGGATTGGGAAAGGTCGTGCGCAGCAAAGGAAACATTTTGCAGTGACGGTAAGCTATGTTCGCGGATTGGGAAAGGTCGCGCGCAGCAATGGAAACATTTCGCAGCAATGGAAACATTTCACAGTGACGGTAGGCTACGTTCGCGGATTGGGAAAGGTCGTGCGCAGCAATGGAAACGTTCGCAGTGACGGTAAGCTATGTTCGCAGATTGGGAAAGGTCGCGCGCAGCAATGGAAACATTTCGCAGCAATGGAAACATTTCGCAGTGACGGTAAGCTATGTTCGCGGATTGGGAAAGGTCGCGCGCAGCAATGGAAACATTTCGCAGCAATGGAAACATTTCGCAGTGACGGTAAGCTATGTTCGCGGATTGGGAAAGGTCCCGCGCAGCAATGGAAACATTTCGCAGCAATGGAAACATTGCGCAGTGACTGACGGTAAGCTATGTTCGCGGATTGGGAAAGGTCGTGCGCAGCAATGGAAACATGTCGCAGTGACGGTAAGCTATATGTTCGCGGATTGGGAAAGGTCGTGCGCAGCAATGGAAACATGTCGCAGTGACGGTCAGCCATGTTCGCGGATTGGGAAAGGTCATGCGCAGCAATGGAAACATTTCGCAGTGACGGTAAGCTATGGTCGTGCGCAGCCATGGAAACATTTCGCAGTGACGGTAAGCTATGTTCGCGGATTGGGAAAGGTCGTGCGCAGCAATGGAAACATTTCGCAGCAATGGAAACATTTCGCAGTGACGGTCAGCTATGTTCGCGGATTGGGAAAGGTCGTGCGCAGCAATGGAAACATTTCGCAGTGACCGTAAGCTATGTTCGCGGATTGGGAAAGGTCGCGCGCAGCAATGGAAACATTTCGCAGCAATGGAAACATTTCGCAGTGACGGTAAGCTATGTTCGCGGATTGGGAAAGGTCGTGCGCAGCAATGGAAACATTTCGCAGCAATGGAAACATGTCGCAGTGACGGTAAGCTATGTTCGCGGATTGGGAAAGGTCGTGCGCAGCAATGGAAACATTTCGTATCATTTCGTAGCAATGGAAACATTTCGCAGTGATGGTAAGCTATGTTCGCGGATTGGGAAAGGTCGTGCGCAGCAATGGAAACATTTCGCAGCAATGGAAACACTTCGCAGTGACGGTAAGCTATGTTCGCGGATTGGGAAAGGTCGTGCGCAGCAATGGAAACATTTCGCAGCAATGGAAACATTTCGCAGTGACGGTAAGCTATCTATGTATCTATGTATGTATGTATGTATGTATGTATGTATGTATGTATGAGGGTATGGGTGTACAGTATCCTCTGGTTCTTCTGGTCCCCCCCCGTCAACGCTTGCTCGGTGCTGTCTCAGCGTACAACAGTTTGCCCAGACGCCCACATGGCCTTGCACCAGAAACCTTGTGGCGGGCGCTGCGCCCGCTTGAGTCTCAATGGCGCAGCAAAACCATTGAAGCTGTTGCTGGCACGAATGCTGATCCGCTAACGGATGCGGAGTGGTTGGAGCTATTAGATGAACATGCGGCTGCAGATCATGACTTGTACCAGAAAGCCGCAGAGAAATTTGGTGATGATGTTACACAATTGCAGAAGATTTTCCACTCGGCCCAAGAACGTGCTGCTTTAGCGCGAAGGTCAACAGGCAAAAGCGACAAGAGCTGAAGCAAGCACCTCTGGTGACCGGTGACATTGTACTTTGCAAGTCAACGCGATACAAGAGCACAGCTGGATTTGGAAAATTTGAAACTTCTTCTGATGGCCTGCGTCAATACAGTGTGGTCAGCTTCAGCGGCGGCATTGCCACTTTGCAGGAGATTACCACGGGAACAATGATCACACGACATGAATCCTTGTTGCGGATAATGCCGCGTGTCGTGCAGCCTGGACAATGCACTGGAGACAATGAAGGCTTGCCGTCGCCCAATGCCAAAGCCGCATTGAAAACTTTGGAAACCTTGAGTCGCTTCTTTGTCCTTCGGACCCGTGGCGATGGAGGGTGCCTCTATCGCAGTTTAGCGATGGCCCTGCAATTGCAAGCTGGCGTGAAGGTGCATGCGCTCGAGGACAACGATGCCCGAGCTGCAGCCCTCCGAGAAGAACTCGTGAAATTCAGCAAGCTCTACGTGCAGGGCTGCACGGCAGATGCGGCCAAAATGGCGGCCACTTGCTTACAAGTGGAACTGGAACAAGAGACTGCTTGGGATGCTTCGAAACCTTTCACCTGGGAAAGGTATTGGGAGTTCATGTCGAAACCACATTCGTTTGCGACCATGTGGAGCGTCGGCCGGTTTGTTGAGAGTTCGAAGTCGGCAGTGTTCGTCTACACAGAAGATGACAAGAAGGTCAAGCTGATTTCGTCAGAGGACCCGCCATGGGCCACGGGCCAGTGCCATGTGCTACGCACTGGTTGCCACTATGACTTGTTGGTGCCAAGGCGCATCCACTCGAAGCAAGGATGGAAAAAAAGCAGTTTGACCGCAGGTGTCCGTATCATTGCAGACCTGAAGTCTCGTACAAGGCGCCGATAGCATCAAAATGAGGCCACACGCAGCGAAAACAAGCATTGATGTTTCAACCACTCAGTGCTGAAAGCTTGGACATCTGAAGTTGAATCCACTGGAACCAACTATGTCGAATTTATTGTCAAGACAATGACAGTATGATGATTTCAATGCAGCATGTACAGATGTACACATGCATGTGCACATAAATTCAGAGAAAATACACCCTTATCACACACATGTTTACAACCATATTTACATATATATATATAATATATATATATGTCTATATATGCGTATACATACACACATAGATACATACATCCATGCATACATACATACATACATACATACATACATACATACATACATACATACATACATACATACATACATCCACAGGGGTATCATACCCCCCCATCCCATGGGGGGGTGGGAACACGGACACGGGACTATGTATGTATGTAATGTCATGTCATGTCATGTCATGTCATGGTATGGTATGTATGTATGTATGTATGTATGTATGTATGTATGTATGTATGTATGTATGTGTGTATGTATGTGTGTATGTATGTATGTGTGTATGTATGTATGTATGTATGTATGTATGTATGTATGTATGTATGTATGTATGTATGTATGTACATACACATCCCAATATATCCCAGTAAATCCCAGTAAATCCCAACGTATCTATTCTTGGGAATCTTTCGCAGAACCCCCTGTGTCAGTTGGCCATGAAACAATGACGTCACCAACATCTCTTTGATACTTGTTGATAATGGCTCCATTTACTCCCAGATCGGCATTTCGATGCTTCAATCCTTTTTCGTCCCTAACATTTGATGCTAAACATCCCTTAAGGATGGTTTAACCATCTTCGTTCAACCATCGTTCAACCTCCAAGAACCCAGTGTCTCCCCGGGGTCGACCGAGGAGGTGAAAGTGAAGGACCTGCATCCGGCGGCGCGACAGGCGCCACACCTGGCCTCTAAAGCCAAGGCGGTGCCCTATGAGTTGGTGATTCCAACCTATCAGCGATGGATGCCCGTGTGCGACATGAGCAACAAGATGCCTGGATGAAGAGAAGTTCAGACATTCCAGTGAGATGATGATGATGATGATGATGATGATGATGATGATGGTTTTGGTGATGGTGATGGTGATGGTGGTGATGATGATGATGATGATGATGATACTGAAAGGATGAATAGTTGGATGGATGGATGGGTGGATGGGTGGGTGGATGGATGGATGGATGCATGGATTTGAATGGATTGATCAATGTTTCAGATGATTATGATTGATTCATGGATGATTGGATGACTTGATTTGATTTATTTTTTTGATGAGTATGATGAATGGATGGATGAGCGGATAGATTGAATAGGGATGAAGGGTTTGGATTTAAGATGATGACTGGGATGATTTGGATGGGATTGATTTGGATGGCATGAGATGGTATTGAATAGGATTGAACAGGTTTTTGGGATTAGATTTTCAGGGTTTGGAAGGGATCCAGGATGGATAAATGGGATGGGATGTTGGGGATGAATGATGGGGGATTTAGGTTTGGACGAAACATTTGGCGACATTTGGAGGATATGGGGTGAAGGATTCGGGATTGGGATTGGATGCTAGATGCAGTAAATTTTTGAGAGGGGTGCTATTTCTGGTCTGGGGGTGGATGTTCAAAACAAGATTGGTTTTCACGAAGTTGGGTGCTTGAATAGTTTATGCTTAAAACAATTTCAGCGCAAAAAAATCAGCTGATGAGTTGGGCGAATTCTTACAAAGAGATTGAACAGGACAGACCGCGCACCACGCATTGTGGTTAACATCTTCAGGCAAAAAACACTTCAATGCTTTGAATTCAGATCTGGGATTTAGTATGAATTGTCCAGATTAGATGATATTTGGAGGTCCTGGGAGGCCCTTGAGTCACAGGGAAATGATTGAAAGCGGAGAGCTGGTGATATAACAGCTCGATTTTGATCATCGTATGTGTCTCACTTGAGTGCAGTATATCTAAGTTGGATTTCCAGCGGATCGTGTTTCCCTCTCCTTTCTGAAAGATAGAAACCACTGGACAGTTTGGATCGCAAACGTTAGCATACGTACGATCATATGCCAATTCATGTGATGAACGTGGAGTGAAAAAAACTGAACCAAAACATCGTCCTTAGTAAGAGTCCTTCATTGGAGTCTACCTGCATGTTGGTCGGTTGCATGCTCTTGATGTGGATTTGATTGATTCCGTCCGGGTTCTTTTGCTTGTTGTACCACATCTCTGCATTCAACAAACGAATCTCCTTGCAAGTTTGCTCAATCTTGGTCTTGCAGCATTTGAAGGTGAGGTCAGTTGGCCCCGATGTGGCAGTACCCAATGACTCGTTCGCTAAGGAGAAGGTTCAAGAAATGCAAGACATCCTTCATCCTGACGCTTGGTCTTGCGCCTGTTTAGTTGGTGATTTTTCTCGATTGAATTCCAATGGTTGATGCGGGATGATCGTCGGTGTTCCCAACTTCAGTGGGGCCTTGCTTCTCCAAGGATGCACTCGCTGGGAATGCTCTCCAGACAAAGGATACCAACCTCGCGGGTCACACTTTTCGTGGCCAACGAAACCGAGAGGAGACGAATGGGGGGAAGGGGGGAAAACTGACCAAATTGGGATGCCATTTTGATGAGAAAAATGAGGAACCCTGTTTTTTATTTTTAGGGGGATGTCCAATTGTTTGGACACCCATTTACTTGATTAAGAACTCATGTGATTCGGCCATGATGTTAGTCAAATGGCCACATATGGCCACATCTCATGCTGCGAACCAGCGATTAGGGTTCGAACTGATCCACAAACGTTGTGGTCATTGTTAGCATGAAGCCGTCCATTTCGGGGGTTGACAATTCTCAACCTTAGGCTTAGCCAATTAGGTGCAAGTTGAACACAGTTGACTATGCACTTCACTGGGCAAGTCGTTCTGATCTCATGGCCCGGAAAATAACTCAGTTTTTCCCATCCCATCCGAACAACATGTCTACCGTTTCCTAGGTGAAGACCATCTCTCGTCGAGTCTGTTCGTTGCCCGCCCTAAAGACAGCCAGGAAGCACTACCGTGCAGCCTTGGCGGGGAGCGAATGGGAGAAGGTGCGGATCGAGGTGTCCGTGCTGGGAAACAAAAACTCGCGCAACTTCATCATGAAGCTTGGTAGTGATTGCAGATCTGAGGCAGATTTCATGGTGGGGATGATGGGATGTGGCGAGTGCTGGAGATTGAGGGGTTTCCATCCTGAGCCTGGAATTTCATGATGGTGCTCTTAAAAAAGTGGATGGGAACATGCAGTACACGTATTCGTTCTGTTGGAAATCACGGTAATCCTCAATGGCCACTGGCACAATGATCATGGCATCCTCATGGGATTCCTGGGCATCCATGGCCCATCACCAGACAGAGATTGAGGAAATTCTTTCCTCCTGGCACCTACGTGGTGAGCATCGATGATGATGTTGAGAGGCGATCTGTTTGGGCAGGCTTAGTTCGATCACTACATCAACATCTACCGAAGATTGGATGTTTGATGATGTTTGTACCTGGGATATCATGGGATTACATTCCCAAATTGACTTCAAGGAAGCTAAGCACATCGATGACACTCAAACTGAAAGCTTTGAGCACTGCCACAGGATAAGCTGGAAGATTCAGGATGGGATGACGCCCCATGTGCTGCGCAACTGGGACAAGGGCTTTGGCGACGGACAAAGGATACCATCAGGGCCAAACAGGTACCAAATGGATCTTTTTTTTTGTGATTTCAGTGGTGATTTCAGTGGTGTACCCATGGAAATGCCATAAAAAATCTCCGAGGTAGTTTGCCTCCCGGCTCCTTGGTGCGGCTCCCTAGATGCACCATGGATGGGGTGGCCGAATCTTTAGATCACCGGAGAAACCGTGTTTTTTTAGATATTTTTTGATGGGATAATATGATTAATGATACTATATAGATGATAGTATAGATGATTATATGATACTATAGATGTTTTTTTCTTTTGATCTAAAACTCTTGGGATCTATTTTTACATCATTCAGGATGCGTCACCACCAGATGGATTTCTTGAACCAGGCAATTCATTTGGGGCCAGCTTTGCCACACGGCCACCTGGTGAAGTCGTATGTGACGCTGGCAGAAAGTTCCCTCTGGATGTTTGCAGGAAAAGATCATCTTTGACGGCTACAGGCAAATGAAAGAGCATCTTGGACACCGTGGATTTCGGCTTGACTGCAATATTCATGCGACAATGATGACAAATCACTGGATTTTGGGGTACTACATTTTCAAACAAATCCATTTGTGCACATTTATGCTATGTCTTGCAGAAGATTGAGTGGTTTATTCCGATATTTTTGCATTTGGGACTAGTCATAGTTGTGTTCAGACAGGCCGGCCACGGCCACAAAATAATCAACGAATGTGGCGGATTGGTTCGTTGCGCCTTCAATGGCTGAAAGATCATGATTGACAACGACTGTGCTTGGGGATTGGCGACCTCAAGTTGAATTTTCCAATGGAGTACTACCTATCCGAATATCCTTATTTATATATGTCATATAATGCATATCCTGATGTGTATATGTAGCTTATGACTATACACTTTTCCGTGTCTCCTACAAGGATGTTTTTCCTACATGGGCATGATAGAACAAAGGCTCGCCGCTAGCCTTAAAGATGTCGTTTAAACAGTTGCTAAAGGACGGCATATGGCATGTTCATAAAGATTTACTCAGGCAGAAAGCCTTCTTGTGGGGTGTGTCTACATCCCAGAATGCACGGCACATGAGGGTCCATGGGGTCAGCCCGTGGCATGTTTCCTGCTGTGGCAACGGTTTTTCAAGATGTGTTTCTAGGAGACTCAGTGCAAAGTGCTTGTGGCATGTTCTCTGCAACTTCGGGAAACAATGATATGTACGCCGGACATGCCTCAACAGATTCTATAAAATCAGTTTCCCAGTTTCCCTAAAATCCGAGAGCAGTCTCTTGTGTCAACCCCGGAGCTCCACCTTTGCCAGATTTCGAAGCGAAATGGCCTGGTCAACGGGCGTGGAAGCTCAGGGGAGAAAATGGGCGCGACCCTTCGGGGCGGTGGCACTACACTGCATGGCACCACGAATCTCACGGGTACGCCAGGTATCTCAACGGTTTCATTACGCGACCTCACTGCAAGGAGCCCGGGGAGACAGGAGACATCAGAAGGCTCCAGAAGTTTCTTTCCTTTTGAAGCTGATGATTTAGATCCCTTGGTAATCCCCGGGTATTGCTTGGTATGAACTGTTTTGAAGAGTTTATGGAATTCCGCCAATCCGCCAGTGGAAGGAACTCTTTCGAACCCTGACGGATGCGACTGAAGATTCCGAATTTGCGGTGAGGCACTATGCTAAGGCCGAACGGATATGGGATGGGTAGGGCTTCTGGAATCCAACATGGCCGCGTTCGATAGTAAGATCTCATGGGGGATCCCCAATGACATCTTTAGCCCCCCAATCATCAACAATCTGGGGGCTGTTGTAAATCATCTCAAGTAGGGTTTTGGTTTGAAAGGGACAGACGGATAATTGGACTTTGAATCTGCAAATTGAAGCCATTTGAAACCAATGACATGGAATGGAAAATCTAATCAGATACAGTATCAACATGTGGGGATTATGCATTCCCTGCAATCATCCGTCCAGGGGGCTGGAATGACGCTGCATATCGACCTAGGGTCCCTGAATCCATCAAAGGGTGGTGGTTTCAAACTCACACATTTTACATTCCTCCCCAGGTATATCATGGTATATCTGGGATGGTGATAGTGACATTTTTTCTCTGTTGGAAATGGGTTGAAACCACCAAGTGACGGTCGCGCGCGTTGGCTCAATGGAACTCAGGGGCAAAAAACGGCCGACCATTAAACCGACGAACCACGATTCTTTGGAATCCAATCCCCCCCGTCTTCCGAAGATGGCCGTCCTTGCCGGGGGCACAGGGGGGGAGATCACCGGGATCACCTGTGCTTCTGGGTGCGGGTGATGTACTTCTGGAATGCGGTCAATCTGGTCAATGCGAACATACAGGGTTCAGCTAGTCAATTCTCAAGATTCTTTCAGAACGAGAACATAGGAGCTTTGGCAGGCTGAGAAGGGGAGACAACGGATCCAAGGAAGAAATCTGGTGCAATCCTGTTCCTTCCGCAGCCTCAGCCGAGGCCTCTGCGATGAAAATGTTAAACGCAGCTTGGCCTGGGATTTGGGAGTGGACTATCGGGGGGATTAACGGCCTATGAGCAATCAATTTTTTACTTCACCTTCCAACACTGGCTCTTTGCGATAGGCTGTTGCCAGTGATTGCCAGTGTCAGCACGTCCCCAGTCTTCGGGTATAGCTTTGGACCTTTCATCGACTTGACCAAGGGCCAAGGGCCAAGGGCCAAGGGCCAAGGGCCCAAACCAAGGATAACCGAGGGAGGAACATCCAAGATGTTTTCTGCTGAGGTGCTTGGCGTGGCAAATTGTGCGGAGAGAGATAAGGCGTCCGGACCTGGCACAGCTTAGTGTACTCAGTAGGTCCTATGGGGATGTGTCAAAAGCCATGATGTCCCCCCATTGAGGGATATTGAGGGGAATTTTAAGGGGGAGTAACATTTTACATCATTTTACCAGATAGACTTTCCCAAAATGACCAAACAATTGACCACTGACCACAGGACAATGGTGTGAGTCCGGCGAGCCGACTCCCGGTCACTTGGTGAAAGTGAGATGTTGTGCAAAAGTTGGGGGATTTGGCACTATAAATCCAAGAATGATGGAGGTGTAATGGGGTAATATAGTGAAATAATGTGAAATGTATATGACCATTTGTCAAAAATAGTTGTTTAGAAGTTCAGTATTGGTTGCTGATAATTCATCTGGGTCTACTGTTTTTTCCTCTTCGTTATGAGGCGGCACGCAACTAAATTCAGCAATTCTGCAAGGCAGCGCTAGCAAACCCGCTAGGTTTGCGCTAGGTTTGATTGACAGCCATGGCCTCCATGTCGTGAATGTCTTGCCAGCTTTTCTTACAAGTCTGTGAGTTTCCACATATTCCCAAATTTTCGATTTTGTTTACGTATTTTACGCGCTAGATCGCCGCTAGCAACGCGCTAGCGAAATTGCAAATACATGCCCCGGTCCACCCGCAGCCCATTCAGAGGCACAGCCATGCTCACGCTTTGGTAGCTTACAGTAAGGAAATAGCGTTGATCAGGAGGCATGTCAAGAAGCATATTGCATTCAGAGAGGCACACACACACACAGAGACACACAGTTCAGGAGATAGTACCAGCGACAGCGAATGAAAACCGACGTGCGTTAGCCGATTCCTGTGGTTAGAGAAAGATTTCCAAAGGTAACGAAGAATTTCCACGTTTTCACGTCATCAAGGTAGGTCATGTTTTTTAAAGGCAAACATGAGGCGGTACGCATGGAATTGCGATTTATCAACAAAACCGGGAACAGACATTTTGACAAACCGTCATATATATATATATATATGTAAATCAATTGTATGTGTATAATGTGTATGTATATATACATGTATAATATAATCACCAATATGATAGTTGGGCTTGTCCTAATGAGGGATTCACCTCCAATTTATGGCCAATTCAATGGTGAAGATTATGATAGACCATGTTTTTTTTGGGTAGTTTTGGAGAAGCCTCTGTTTGTGCCTGACTCCCATGAGTAAGGCCAGTAGGGCTTCATTTTTGGGACAGGCAGATGTGTTTGAGTCAAGAAAGAGGTGTTCCGAAGAGGTGTGAGTGCTGGAAACCTGATTTTCAGCAGAATCTTGTGGACCCACTCCCAGATCCCGGAAAGACTGGCATGGCCAACTGTCCAACGTGGATCCCCTGAGTTGCACACCAAGGCTCCAAAGCGGACTGGCGACGCAGCAAAGTCTGGAGACTCAGACGAAGTCCGTTTGAGCTGGGATGATTTTTATCATTGTTTCGGTGGGGAGGATTTCTTGCCCAAAGAATCCTGGAAACAGCCACCATCTCAGCTCAGTTCTGGGATGTCAGGACTATAGAATGGTCATTTTTTGCAGGGTTTTCATGGGTTCGATTGGTTCCATGGATTCTCAAAGCGAAATCCCCCCAAACTTTTTTCCCCAAGGTCCCATAATTAACATGCAAGTCAATATGATATCATATAGTTATGTATGTGCGTACCTTGTGTATGTCCAAATATATAGCTTCAGTCTCTGCAGTTGTCCGTCAGCAAGATCAACTTTCCTTTCACAGGCTATGGCATTTGAAGGTGGCCCAGCAAAGCTGTTTGAAGCTGTGACGGTTTCCACCAAACCTCAGTGGTGCGTAAACGCCATCCCGGGGGTTGCCCAATGAAGGTCCATGACCACTCCGCCGGGACCCCAGTGGGAAGTGTTCAAAATCGAACAGGGAGATGACCGCAGTCACGCCCTCCAAAATATGTTCGCATATGTTAGCATGTTTTTGCCGTCAGTTGTGGCTCTGATTTTTGTCATGTTATTTACGTATTTTCACTCTACAGAATCTACAGATGGGTGACTGTTGTGTTTGAGTTTTTTTTGTTTTGGGGTATTCTCGTACTTGTGACGGTGCAACCAGCCAGCTTTTAACACTCAAACCGCCTCTGATTCGAAGCTTCCTTGAGATCGCGACGTTTCGACAGTGGCACATGGCTTGCACATCCAGCACCTTTTTCGAAGTCTTTCACTAGCTGTAACTTAGTGAATCAGGGCTAGCCATCCTCCCGCAGCGTGTTTTCATCCTGTTCACCGTTGCCCGCCCGGCCCCGGAGCCATGGCGTGTTGCTGGAGTGGTCTCGAGAAGATCTTGGGCTCGGGCTCCAAGGTGCCACGAACTTCGGTGGATTCCGTGGAAGCTTGGAGCAGTGGAGTCAAGAGAGGATGATTTTGGATTTTGGATGATTTTGGATGATTTTGGATGATTTTAAGGGCAATTTCTAACATTTCAAGTGCGCAGCTACAGCCAAATCCCACATTGGTCTAGAGTTGGATGACTTTAGGTAAGTTGGGAAGCCAATTTGTGCAGATATATCCAGAATGTTAAGGTGAGTTGGTTGATGACTAGACAAGACTTATGGATATTTCTGATTTTGATCGACAGTTGGTTGAGTTAAACCAACTTAGAACTGGGTCCCCATCTTGCATCAATGGTTCAATAGCCTAATCTTGTGTGGTTTCACTGATGAGCTTCGCCTGGGGCACATCTCAGGAACGCTTCCGGAAGGGCAGCTGGACCTCCCCATTGCCCTCCCCGCACCTGCAATGCGCTCCGGAACCCGAATCCTTGGACCAGGACTATGAGTGGCTGTTGGACATGGCCCCCTGGCACTGACACGGACCATGTTCCAAGTGATTTTGAGTTGTTCGCAGTTGATTGAAGATATTTGAACATAACATAACATATATGGGTTTGGGGACAGTCACGGTTTGAACCCATCTGAGTATGTGTCAAAATAGTGTACCCCGAAATGGAATGGTTTTATTACGACTCTGTCGTTTCTAGGGCCTTGAATTTTTATCCATAGCCGTTTGTTGCTGGTCTCCATCCCAGTTCTTTTTTGGGGATTCACTTCCCTCTTCGGTGCCCCTGTTTTTGGCGGTTAATGCCCCATTTTTTTAGTGCTTGTCAACTTGTCAACCACCAACATTCTCTATGAAACCATATGAAACCATATGAAACCATATGAAACCATATGAAGCCATATGAAACCATATGAAACCATATGAAACCCATAGCCGCTTAGCCAATTGAGATAGTGTTTTAACTCACCATTTTTCGTGGTGAAGCCCCACATCCATGAATCCGTAGATTCTTCATCCCCTTTTGTCGTCAGGTAGACACCAACAACATGACTTCGCGCTTCGATCGGGTGGTGGACGTGGATGCTGCACATGGAGTGCACATGGAAGCGATGGAGGGTGCCAGACATTTCTTGGCGGAACAGCTGCACCTGGGCCTTCAACCGGTGGAAAGGGAAGGATGATAGAGTGGCTTAATGTGTCTTGATGCGTCTTGTATCTTGATGATTGCTGATTGTATGAATGTTGAGTGCTTTCAAGGATTTTGATCTATTTTTCTATTTTCAAGCCTAATGGGATGATGAAAACTGACGAGCATATTCTTCAGGGAGAAAGAAACGCGTTTTTCAGGAAGCCACCAACCAGTTGATGTGTGGGGTGTATGTGAATATATTATGGTGAAGATGTAGGCTTTCTTGCGTGTGGACATGGAAACTTGAGGACAGCTATTTATTCACAAATAGTGAATACATGTACGCACACACACACAAAATGCACAAGCAGACACCCAAGATATATATAGAGGCTGGCATTTGTGCCAACATTTCTTGAATCAACATGCATACTCCGCGCATGTGTAGATGGTTCTTGTAATGTTTTGTACATAGGCATACATATGATCACATGAATCATATACCATTAAAAAATAAGCTTCGGTGGTATCCCCAACAGCTGCCACATTCTATTTTTACAAATTTCCGTGAGTTAAATCACCACAAATCCTGTTGAACCTGACCTGGCTCTGCACCAAAGCCTCCCGGAACCCTCTGGAAACTTCTCCGGAACCCTGTTGAACCTGACCTGGCTCTGCACCAAAGCCTCCCGGAACCTTCTCCGGAACCTTCTCCGGAACCTTCTCCGGACCCCTGTTGAACCTAACCTGGCTCTGCACCAAAGCCTCCCACACCTTCTCCGGAACCTTCTCCGGACCTGGCTCTGCACCAAAGCCTCCCACACGTTCTCCGGAACCTTCTCCAGAACCTTCTCCGGAACCCTGTTGAACCTAACCTGGCTCTGCACCAAAGCCTCCCACACCTTCTCCGGAACCTCCTCCGGAACCCTGTCGAACCTGACCTGGCTTTGCACCAAAGCCTCCCAGACCTGCTCCGGAACCTTCGGAACCTTCTCCGGAACCTCGTTGAACCTGACCTGGCACCTGCACCAGTGCACACCGGAGCTATTCTGGGCTGAAGACCCCGTTAGCTTACGCTGTTGGGGAAAAAAATGCACATTCTGGAACCTGACCCAGAAAGATAGTCATGCAGGGGGTTGGGCGGACTGAATTCGCTTGCATTAGACACACAAAGAGGAACGCATCAAAAAAGGGAAGGTATGTAGATGGTATGTATAGGTAAGTTGGATTAGGAAGAATCCCGACAGACAAGCTTCCTCAGATTTGAAGAGGTTAGAGAGGACAGATTGTTCATTCGGTTTGTCAACAGGGTATCTCAGCAACTTGCGAAAGTTGTCATCAGGTGTGGAAACACAAGTCAGCGAATCTGCTGGCAGCGTTCTTCATGTGTCTTTTTCAGAACAAAAAATTGGACGACCCCCAAAATCCCATGGGTTATCATGGGTTATCATCATTTTTTCCTAAGTTTGCCATCAAAATCCCATATGTCATTATCATTTATCACCCATTTTCCACCTGAAAAATGGCCATTTGGCCATCGCCCCAGGTATTCCTACCCTGGTTCCCTTCCGCGCGCCTTGACATTGGCCGAGCGTGAGCGGGTCTTGCGGGTGTTGCAACCCACGGCCACCTTCGAAATGCTGAACCGGATGCCTGCAGAGAGGGGGTGCCCAGGGACCTGGACATGGGGATTTTTTGGTTTGGAAAGTCAGAAATGATAGAAATGGAAATCCAAAAAAATAGGTCAGAAACCTTTTTTTTGGTGTCACTGTGCAATGTGTTGTGACTTTTGTCTGTTTTTAAATGGGGTAATTTGATTCCACCCAGGTTGGTGGAGGCGAAAAGCCGGGAAGGCCAAAAACTTCGCAGGAGGGAGATGGGACTTTGGCAAAAGGTTGGAAAAACCATAGGGAGACGGTCATCCATAGATTTTTTGGGTGATGTCGTTCATGGTTTCTGAAGTATCAACTCCAGTTTCTAATATAATCATTCGAATATTCTAATGTGAAGATCCAAGATGATCCTTCGGTTTCTAATGTGATAATGTGATGGATAATCCTTCAGCTCATTGCTTCGAGTGATTTCAAGTGCTTTAGAACTGAGCCAGTGGAATCTCGTAGCGACCAATGATGTCAGTGGTCGGGTTCGAAAGGTGAGCCGTGCGTTTGGGTAAATTCCAAACATGTGAGATACCCCAGGTTATGGCAGTGAAAATATGGGGAGCTGATTTTCTCAACCATCAACCATGGTATTTTGATGCGGGTTTCCCACTTCCGACCTCATTGGATGGTAGGAAGTTGCTGGAGGGAGCCACCATCGTGTTCTTCACCGCCGGCTACGCGGGAAAGCGCTTCATCTATGAACGAGCCATGCAGCTTGGGGTCAAGAGCGTGGCTCAGTTGCAGACAACTGCGCTGAACAAAAGGTCCAATGGAAAGAACCGTTTTCGCTTTGTTTTTTGGATAGATATTTTTTGTATTTTTTTGTGATACATCCATTGCAGGACCAACAAAAATCTTGAAAGACGTGAATCACATGCAAGCCATCCATCCCAACACTGTCCATCCGGGGATGACAGGTGATCATAGAACACCCAGACAGCTGGGCAAAGAGCCTGGTGGATGAAGGTGCGGTGCCGGGTCAACATGGGGATGCCCCAAAAATGGCAGGGTCACCGCAAATCCACCGGTTGTGTTGGTTGTGAAACCACGTGAAACCCAAATTCGGGAGGTATTGAGGTATCGATCCAGAAATACGGTAGATGAAAGCAGCGGAGTGATTGCTCTGGATTGCCATTGAAGTGACTGATTGGTTTTTCACCCAATGACAGCAAACTTATTGATTCATCATTCCCTTTCACAATGTGGTGCAGCTCAGAACCAGACATGAAGTTAACAATGTAGTGTCACAACCAAAATAAACATCAACAACGAAGTTTTTTTCCTTAAGCAAGCAACATCGTTATGTGCCAAAACACCAAAATATTGTTACCCTTTGGCAATCCAACCTGTTCCATGGTAAACCCCCAGTTATGTCTTCTCTTGTCCGAGGGGGTGTTTTGCGAAGGGGTGTTCAAAGTGTTCAAGACTGTTGCAGTAGCTGTTCAGTTTCTGCCAAAACCTCATGGAATACTGTCAAAAGCTTATGGAATACTGGGGAAAGCTTTTGAAATACTGCCAAAGACTTATGGAATACTGCCAGAAACTTATCGAATACTGCCAAACACTGCCAGTTTTCAGCCTGTCCTGCTTAAGACTTAAACCACCCTTGATACGGAATTCATAGAGGATTTGAAGGTGGCCATGGCAGCATCACTCCATGGCGCCAGGCGTGATCGCCAAGTTCATACCGATCGATATGTCGCAGGCGGTTCTTTGTTGCAGCTGGAAAATCCTAGACTTTTTGGTGAAAGGAACCTTTTGTGAAAGGAATCCCAAAGAAATCTACAGGTAGAAACTCTGCTGGTCTCCTCCTTTTTTCCCCACCAGCCAGGATGCCGAGACGGTCTTTCAACAGTCGTTGGATGCAATTCGAGCACTTGGAAAGGACCTGGGGTGTGCGTCCTCGATTCGTGGGTTATCCCATCTACAAATGGGTTAGAACTTGGGTTATTAACCACTTATTAAGAGGGATGACCCTCCAAGTGTGGGCCATTTTGAATTGTGAGTGATAGTTTAAGACCCTTGGACTTACAGATGGATAGGTGAGTCTGAGTCTGAACCAGTTTCTTTTGGCACTTGGTCCAAATTTCATCTAGACTAATCTAGACCAAGATAGCTTTCTCTTTAACCATGGAAGTTGGGGTGTACCTCCTAGTGAAGAAATGCCACAACTCAGCATGTTGCATTTATAGTTTTGGACACTCACCATGGCTTTTCGCCAGTTGTCCCCACTTTGAATTGTGAATTCTTCCCACTCTTTGTTGGTAAAGTCCCAAACAAAATACAAAGTTTTCAAATTCACTACCCCCAAGTGGGGTTGGTCGAAAAGAAGTTCCATGCATTTATGAGGGATTGCTTATAAATGCTTATAAGGAATCCCGATTTTCCATGCTGGTGGGATGACCATTTTTACCATTTATGGTGGCATTCATCATATTCCTCCCATCCAACTTGACCCTTTTGCACATGGTTCCACCAATTTCCCAAATTTTTGGATGAAAAATCCAAGAGTTTTCCCAAGATTTTTCCGATTTCTGCAGTAAAAACCACCCAATTTCCCCAGGGTTCTGACACTTTCCGGACCGCTGGAGGACCCCTTAACGTTGGACGCCGATGCCTGTGTGACCTTCTGCGAGCTCAGCGTCCCCGTGGTTGCCAGACTCTGTGAGGTGCTGGGCCTGCCAGGACCCAGTGGATGTCATTGAAAAACGATGGAAAAAACACAGAAACTCACGATTTTAGTGGGATTTTATATGATTTTATAGGATTTTAGTGGGACTTGATGTAGATTTTATGAATGGGATTTGACTTTACCTCGAAAAATTAGGGTTCGCTTTCGCGTGAGATTTTACTACACATTTTAAATGTACTGCGTACACATATGGTGTGTGTGTATATACGTATATATATATAATTATATATATATATATATTTGACCATTTGGCAAAAATAGTTGACAGAAGTTTTGTACCAGTGGTTGAGAATTTGTGTGGATCTAGTGCTTTTTCCTCTTCCTTATGAGGCGGCACGCAACTAAATTCACCAATTCTGCAAGGCAGCGCTAGCAAACCCGCTAGGTTTGCGCTAGTTTTTCTTTACATCCATGTTCAAAGATTTTTTTTTGTGTGTTCCTGACTGCTTGTTATTTCAACATGAAGAATGTTAAGATTAGCTCCTTGAACCCAAGGACGTCTTAGTAATTTTCTGTGCTACTCAACGATTTCCTTATATTTTTAAGGTTGCGGCTCAATTTTGCGAAGTGTCCACATGTCTCCCTTTGAACCGCGCGGCTGGGATGAGTTGTTGGTTCCCTTCCGGGTATTTTGTCTGGGACTGGGATGGATGTGATCCATCGGCGGCTTGCTACCTTCCATCTCCTCGAAGTTGTACGTAATTGTACCCGCTAGATCTCCGCTAGCAATACGCTAGCAAAAGTTTCAAAAAGCGGCTTTGGCTGACCGGTGACCCAGTGGCCACCAGAGAACTTGTAGTTTATCCTTTCTGTTTGACAACAGCAACAGTGACAGCTAAGGCAACGACAAGCCCAGCAGCAGATCAAACATTATTCCAGTTCCACCACTAATAACTAGCATTGGCACCCACTCCATCTAGACGTGCGTTTGCATTTGCTGCAGGTTTTAGCTACGGTTTTAAACATGAAAGATAAAATGCAAGGTTTGAGAAATAAGTCATAATTTTAAAGAACAAGCGACATGCAAGGAATTACGATTGATCAACCAAACCAGAAGAAGACATTTTGACATACCGTATCTGTGTATATACATATATATATACAGATATATATATATATATACATGATATATGTATATGTACATGTACATGTATATGTATATGTATATGTTTATATTTATACGCGTATAGAGATGTGTCCAGAAACTCTACATGTCGTGATCTTTTGGCAATGTATCAATCCCCTGAGCCTTTTCCAGGACATCGTCCGGAGGCGGTCGACAAGGCGCGTGACAAGCATCGCACCCGAGCCGAGATGAAAAAGGCCTGGCTGGGCCGTTCTGCTCGATGTAGGGATGGGTCACTACCTTAGTTTTTATTTGTTTGACACCTGATTTTTCCGTGGGACTTCAGTTTGTTTCGAGAGTCATGTTTTTCCATGACTTTTTGGGATGAACATCCAGCTATACTAGCGCTCTTGATGTGAACAGAAAAGGATTTCAGGGTTTTGATGCGCAGCCATGAGAAATGACCAGTCAGAAGTTTGTATGGGGCTAGTAATCGCTTCTCTCCAAAAAGAAATTAAATTACTGTAAGCACCAGGCACAGCTCGACAATTCTGTTTAGTATAGGATTTGTTCAGGGGGGTCTTGTTATTTGAGGGATGAGCTTGGGAAGATATGCACCAAAATTGGGTTGATGAACATCTCAATAGCTTGTCCGTTCTGATCATTCCTGGATATGGACTACAGGTGAACAGGGTCTTGCGCCATACCAAGTTTTACTGCGTCGATTGAAGAGAACATCCGCAGACAACCCATAGTTTTAACAATCAAATACTGAGGTTTCTAGTAGGTTATCCCTAAAACATTATCTCAAAATGTTTAGGTCCCAATGATTCACAAGTTTATTGGGAGGTTGCTCTACTTTGCAAAGCCGGAGGCAGGGCTGCCAACGCCGAAAAATATCCTCATCCACAGCGAACAAGAATTGGCAGAGGCTGAACGCGCGGCATCTTGGCTCGGCTGAGAATGATGCGAAGTGCTGAAATCATCCAGCTATTTGGATACGAAATTTTGGCCCATAGCCATGTGGAAATATGGACACAATATGAAACTGGGAATTGTGGGACTTCCGTGCTCTGAAGGTGGGATTCCCAGCCGTGTTGAAACCCATCAGTGGAGCAGCCTCTTTGGGAGCCCCTTGGCCGACGTCAGCGTTTGGGTTTTTGTTTTCCACCATTCAATTCCTATGCCAACCCCAAGGGTTGCAGCTGGACCCGCGAAGGTCAAAAAGGTCAGCTCTTCTGAAGAGCTGCGTAAAGGTTATGCTGAGGCCTTGGAGTTAGGGATGGGGGAGTGGACTTTGGCTCTTGGAATTTCAGCCACAAATCCGAAAGTGTGTGCCCCAGTGGTTCGTAACGGTAGCATAACCCCATGGGATATGACATGATAGAACCCAATTATTCGTAACACCATACAAGTGGGATACGCCCATGGTATTTCCCAGGTTCTGGCTTATAATCCAATAATATCCTATAGATATACTATAGATATCTATAGATATACTTTTGTATATATGTATAATTATATAATAATTATGTGTATATATATATACATATTCATATATGTAACATGGTGATGTTTGTCCGGGGAGTCGTCCTGCACGGTTCTTTCAGGTGGTGGGAGAGCTCTCCAAGTTGGTGGTCTCCAGTGGTGCCCTGACGCAGGATGATGGTAGCGGCAAGGCCAGGCTTATGGGTAAGTTCATCCCCAATAAGCCAGGTAAGATCATTCCCTATAATGTCAACCCTGGATTAATAAACCCCTAGGCTGTTTAATTGGGGGGGTACCATTTAAGTATTAGATTATGACTATTGGAGGAGTACCCCCTAATTAATAAACCATGGTTTATTAATCCGGGGTTGACATTAAACATTAATAAGCAATCAACCCAGCTCATTCTTGATAGATAGGAATTTATCGCTGATTTTGGTTCTTATGAATTACTCTTCATATAGGGATTGTATGATTGTATATTATTGTTTGTATATTTCTGTCTATCAATGGTTAGGAGGGAGCTAAGGAGCTAGGGGTATCCATATTCCCTGCCATGCGGAGCCAGTTGGAGCTACTTAGATAGAGTTTCTCAAGCACATGATACTTATAGTTGTAAGGATTGTTATTGTTGTGAGTTATCATTCTTATTGTTCTTGTTCCTGTGACTAGTGTTGTTTTTTCATATTTATTGTTATGATTAGGATTTCTCAGTATTAATAGGATTTACCCCTATACAAAACCAGGAATAAAACAGTGAGATTGACTGTAATGGGATATGTAATCAACAATACGATATTTGGATTTGTCTGGCAAAAAATAGGGGACACAGCCAACAATCCATTGTTTGAAACCTCGTTTCACCGATGAATCGTATTCGAATCTTGATGTCTATAGATTGTTCATAAGAAGGATAGGTTCAAAGTATGAACTTCCCCACCTATCTGTGCAGAATCACTGTGTTTTACCTTTAACATGGAGAGGTTCTAAGCGCAAGGTTGAAATGTTTGCGATCGTGCAATTCCAACTATTCTAAGCTAGGGTTCCCGTCGAAAAAAGAACTTTTTTTTCCAAATTTGGATTCTACTTGTATCTGTCCTGACTATGACAATTGGTTGAGAAAATCCAGAAATCCTTGTTCGACAAATTGCAATTTTGGGTGCCAAAAAAACTCATCAAGCACGGTTGCATTCTTCTCGACCAACAAGGATGCCATTAGCTTCATCAAACATGGCAATTTTGATATCATGCCCCATTTATAGATGATTTTCCCAGTATAATGTGGAAAAATAGCTGATTTTCCCATTTATAGATGATTTTCCCATCATTTTCCAATAATCCAACCTCCATTTTGATGTGGAAAAACATTGGATGCCAGGGTGTCCGTGCTGAGACTGCCATGGATTGCACCATTTTGTTGGAGCAGTACTTGGACGGTGGCGAGGCCATGGTGTTTTAAAACTGGTTTGGGCCATCCCTGGAATCCCTGGAAGTTGGTTTCCGATGATGTTTGGGCATGGAACATGGGGATTTTCCCTGTCATTTGGGACATGATTTATAAAAATGGAGAAAATGATGATTAGCCTAAGCGAATTTTGGGAAAAATCAAATACTGAGACAAATTATGACACACCAAAATTTTGAACATCTTTCTTTTTCGTTTTCCACGATTTTAACATGTATACTATGTATACATGAAGATGGGCAACTAGCTGGCTGATGTGGATGTGGATGGGTAGGTCGATGTAAAACGGTGGTAGGTCGATGCAGCGAAGAAACGCTGTTCAGGTGGATGTGGACGTGGTCATGAGCGGCGGAGAATGGCGGTATGCTGCGGTGACCGACAATGGTCCGACTTTGGAGCCATACTTTAACGTGCCTGGACGCAGCATGCTGTCGAAGTAGTAAGACAGTTGATGCCATAGGCCATGGGTAACCCAAATTCCTACTGAGTCACTGGTTGAGTTGAGTAGTTAGAGGGGTTAGTGCCCATTTACAACCGGACATTGTTGGTTGATGCTTTCCAAAACAGAATAGGTCGATTGGTTATCGAATTGCAGAGAGCCTTGCGGAGAGCCAGGGGATGTCGACACTCCAAGGATGGGATGATTGAGGGAACCGTTGCGACGTTGCGACGTTGCGACGTTTTTTCCCCTGTTGTATTGATGTCATCATTCACCTATTCTGTAAACTGTAAACCATTCTAACCGTTAGGCACACATGCACATAGACAACCGAGCTGTTAATTACATTTGCGAAGGTAGCAACAAATTCCAGACATGCAACATACCCTCTGGTAATTTAACATAGCTATGGAAAATCACCATGATTAATGGGAAAATCCACTAGAAATGGTCATTTTCAATAGCTATGTTAAATGACCAGAGGGTATATAAGATGAAACAACATCTGATTCCGAAGGTCCAACTCTACTTTGCTCCATCCAACGCCACCAAGGAGACATGGGCTGTTTGCCCCTCGATTTTGCCCTCCAAACAGCAGAAAGAACTCAAAGAATTGGCAGTTGATACCCTGCAGCTTGGCAAATGCCTGGCAAATTCCTATGTTTGGTAGTGGCCCCGGTGCCAACACGTGCCAACACGTGCCAACTAAAAGACATTGGTTGGTACGCACTAGACTTTGGGGTCGTATAAATCCATTGAAACAATGTCCTTCCAGGTTGTTGCCGCGTCACGAAATGGCTTTGCCTGAAAATGGAAAAAAATGGGGGTACTGTACCCCACATCCAGATACATCAAGTGGTTTATCATGGTTTATCACTTCATATCAAGTGACTTAAGTGTGCAATTTTGGGAGCATTTCCCAGTTCGGACGAAGCCAAAATCAGTTTCCCAAAATGAGGAATTGCCTGGGCTTCACGGAGGGTGTCTTCCATGTTGAATGCAAATACACCAGCCACGGACCGCAGCTGATCGAAGTGAATGCCCCTCGGTGGAGATGGCCTGAAAAAAGTCCGCTTTTTATCCAGTAAAATCTAAAAGCCTTTTGACAATTGGTACTGGAAAATCCAGATTGATTCTGACTGGTGGATGGTAAAGTTCGCAGGACTTGGTCCCTTTCCCTTTGATCAAGCCATTTACCCATTGTCTCTGGATCGGTGGCTGTGCCGCACGACACAGAAAGAACTTGGAGAACTCTGTGCACGCACAACGGAAGGACTTGACATCAGAAGACCATATTTCAACCACAGTTTCTGTGCGGGAACGGTAAATACATTTGGACTTAGAGGGAATCCACCTGAAACTGGATGGTGATCCATCTCAGATCACTCGGATTTTTGGCCCGAAAAACCACTTGCTTCGGTCGGTTCGGTCGGATCGCAGCCCTCAGGCGCGGATGGGTGGTGGTCAAGTTCACGAATGTAATCTTCGGGTCTGGGGTGTGGATTTAGTGGAGGCTGGGATGGGCAGAGGGGTGTGTTTCGGGGAAGGAAATCGTCCACCAAAACGTTTGGACAAGGAAATGTGAAGAAATTGTAGTCGATCTTTTTTTGAATATTACCATCGATATTGGAATGCATGCGAGAAATCAAGAAATCCTGGAGTAGAAATCACGTTCCGGTCTAGGAATCACATATGAGTATACAAGATACCGAGGCGCTTTTCCCGTCAGACCCAAAGGCACTGCTCGAGTTCCTTCCCTTACACAGCGCGCCCAATCATAAGTTGGTTTAAAAACCCATCCAACTGTGGATATATTTTTTACCATATATATCCATATATATATATATATCCATATATATCCATATATATCCATATATATCCATATATATCCATATATATCCATATATATCCATATATATCCATATATATCCATATATATATATCCATATGTATATATATATATACTGTATATATATATATCCATATATATATATCCATATGTATATATATATATCCATATGTATATATATATATATCCATATATATCCATATATGTATATATATATATATATATATCATCCAACTGTTTACTCCCAGTTCTTGCAGGTTTTTTTCACCAAGTCACCCCCTGAGGAGACTCTCTTCGCTGCCGCCGGCATCCCATGTCGGCCTTTCATCCCCAGCAAGGATCCACCTGGTGGTGGCGTGGCCTACTGCGACATCAATGCGGAACAGAGCGGCATCTTGCAGAATCTGGACTTCTTGGCGTCCCTTCGACGTATCCGAACGTTGGGGGGACAGCTGGGACAGCTGGGACAGCTGGGACAGCTGGGACAGCTGGGACAGCTGGGGCTGGAAAGGGACGCCGACAAGAATGCCGCATCGGAATCACAGATGGGTCCACAAAATGCAGAATCAATGTAGAATCTTTAGAGATGGTACCAGTGGTACCAGCATTGGGAAAATTGTCGATTGTGATCTCCTGATGCTGCCAACTGTTCTCAGATGGAATCATCTTTGGATAGGTTTTGGATCGGGAGTTTAGCATCGTTCCTGAGCACTAACCCACCCATCCCAGCACAGCTGGCAAGCTGGAAACTGGCAAATCACGGCGATTAGGACAGGTCCAAAATCCCTCCATACAGAGCCCAGTATAGGTATATAGGTAGTCAGAGAACCATTGATCCTATGAATTGTAGTTATGTACTATCATTACTAAGCCATATAAAGCCTCATGTATATTTTGGTCAATTGTAGGGGTTCGCACACCTGTGATGCCAGAAGGGGCCTAATTGTGGTTCTTCCTGTTGTTGTTGTTGGTGGTGGTGGTGGTGGTGTTGCTGTTGTTGTTGTTGTTGCTGTTGTTGCTGCTGTTGCCGTTGTTGGTGTTGTTGGTGTTGTTGGTGTTGTTGCTGTTGCTGTTGCTGGTGCAATTGATGTTTTTTTTGTTGTTGCTGCTGCTCCTGCTGCTGTTGTTTTGCATTTTGTAACCATCTGACAACACATCTTTTCTACTTATTGTTACACGGTATTTACGAGGGTCTTTGCATCTGGCAGCAAAAACCATGGTATTTACAACGGTTTTTTGACAGCGCCTAGCAAGAACACTGGTATTCACGTCGCTTCGCGACGGCAACCGCCCGCACCGCATCGTTGGGCTATATATAAAGATCATATATGTACATATCGAGTGAGCGGTCCACACTGTTAATGATGTCAGCCATTGTTCTCTTCTACTGCCATTGTTCTCTTCTATTGCCGTCGCTCCGCGACAAGAACCCCTGTGCGGCCGCCACGGTTTGAACGATGTTGTTCTCACACCTTCGCGACCGCTCGTAACTGCCAATGATGTCGGCCATTGAGACCAAAAACATCCGAAAGTACTGATTGTCGGAAAAAAAAACGCGAAGAATTTGATAGCCATGTATAGCGGACCAACGCAGTTCAAAAAATAACGAAAAACATGAAAAAACGGCGAAATTGCTGTTATTTACAGTGTTTTTGCGCGGTGAGAAGCAGAAACCACTGCAAATACCATGGTTTTTGAGGGTCAGGTGGCCAAAAACACTGTAATTTACAGTGTTTTTTTAACCAACGTCAAAAAACACTGGTATTTACGATGTTTTCATTCACACCGTAACATAAAACAGCGTAATTTACGAGGTTTTTGGAAGTTTTGAAGCTAGCCGTCAAGCATGCAGAAAACAGAAAAACACTGTAAAAACCAGTGTTTCTGCTATCACAAAACGACGAAAATCAGTCCGAAAACGGGTCCAAAAACTCAAAAATCCGCCTCCGGGCCAGGCCACCTGCGGAACCGCAAAAAAAGATGTTGCAAACCAAAAAATTGAGGTCAAAAAGTTGAAAAACACGGTTTTTTTCACTTTTCGCTTGCCGATTTTGGACGGGCGCGTTCACGAACAGGTGTCTTCCGTACTGTTTTTTACAGTGTTTTTTGAAGGCGAGCGTCACGACCTATCAAAAACAGGAGGTTTTGGCCGAAAAATGCCCCCCCCCCCAGGTAAACCTGTAACCTTTTACGAGTGCCATCCGGACGATCACGCCCCAGCACCTTCGGTGCGGGCGGATTTATGCAGTTTTCAGCACGTTGCAAGAAACATTTTTTCCATGCCAAAGGCACAAACACATTATCCCTAGAAAAATACATCTCTCACTTGCTCCTGTTGCTGCTGAAATCGGGAAAACTGCCAACCATCACTTCTGTGAGCCATAGAAAAGGAAAGAAAGATCGCTCTCACTTGCTCATCCTCTTGCTGTGCTGCCTGCAGCTGGTGGCTGCCGCGGCCGCAGCCGCCGCCGCTGCTGCTGCTAATGCTGCTGCCGCTGCTGCTTTGGAAAGCGGCTGCTGGTGCTGGCCCTGCTTGATACTCTAGCATTCGAAATCTGCTTAAACGCCCAACGTCCCTTCGGAAACCCATAAGCAAAGAAAGAACAAACCTCTCACTTGCTTCGCTTGCTTGCTTATCCTGCTGCGTATTGCTGCGTTCGAGAGGTGTTTAAACAGGAAAAGTGCCGTTGTGGTTGTGATTGTGGTTATGGTGAAGGTTGTGGTGGCGGTTCTTTGTTGTGGTTGTTATGGTCGTTGTGGTCCTTGTGGTTGTGGTTGTGGTCGTGGTGGTGGTGGTGGTGGTGGTGGTGGTTGTGGTTGTGGTTGTTGTTGTGGTTGTTGTTGTTGTTGTTGATCCTGTCATTATTGTTGTTATTGTTGTTGTGCGGCCGTTCGAAACTATTATTCCCTGGCGCACTCCCCCTTGCTCACGCCGGGGTCGGCGGATCTGTTTTTGGTTGGTTTGAGGTCCAGGCTAAACAGCAGATCTCAAGCCCAGCAGCGCTACCAAGGTCCTTACAGCAGAAGGAGCGGAGTTGGGTTTCCCCGGTGACCGGCGGAATCGAGGTGTTGCAGAGACAGAAGGCCGAAGGTGAAAGTAGAACGAACCAGCCAAAGGTGATGATTTTGTAGAGATCATTCTTCATATTATCTATTATTTATTATATTTTATTATTAATATTGTTTTATTGTCATGATTCCGTATACGCCAGATTAGCCAGATTAGCCATGTACCTCTGGTCCGAGTCTGGATCCCTGAAAGGCAAGTTTGTGAAACCAGGTGCCCAAGTCAGAAGCATCAGATGCAGATGCACAATTCCTTCACTGAAGACGTTTTGTTTCCACTTGCGCACAATTCAATTGTGATGGGTTTCCCTACTTCTATCATGTGCCGCCAGCTTGGGCGCACAATCAGCAGCCAGGATTCATGTTTTGGAACATCCCCACATCGCAGTTAGCCTCTTTTTGTATCGCAAACGTTCCAGGATGGTATCATTTGGGCCAAACCATATGTCAAAGCTGGCACTCAGGTGGGGACGCCAATGTCCGGCAGGACCATCCTCCATTTCCAGAGAATCACTCAAGAATATTGGTTTTATACATACATAACCAGCAGAAATGGGGATATAAAATGATATAAACTGCTGGTACAAGCATTACAAGATGACCAACAATGACATGGCAATTTTGATTTAAGATTATGAAGGGAACATCTACAGGACACCTCGTTTCTTATTGGTAAAAACCAAGTGTTCCTGCAACACGTTCCTTAAACTCAACGCGTATCCATGTGAGCCCCAATTTTTTGGTGAGATGGTCAGATAGGTTATACCTTGAGTGCCACCCAATGCCTGTAACAGCCAGTAACGGGTTTGATTGCTTAGAAAAAACCTGGAGGAGCACAAGCAAATCAGGTTTTCTTGGTTGCCAATCTTCTTATTCCAAGGAAATTTTGGAAAGCGTTGATTCAAATTGTGTCCTTGATTCTGGGTTTGCAACACTTTGGATCTTCCCTTTTGGATCCCATGTTGTATTTTATGTGTAGCACTGTCCACACCAATGAATTTCTGGATGTCACTGCAATGCTTTTGGTTTGCGAAGTTTGCTTTTGATTTCGTTTCAGGAGGAACATGTTTTTTTTGTCCGATAGCCTGACAGTCTCATACCTTCTCCCGTTGGGGCTTAGTTTTCGGTCGGCAGCCTGACGCGCGCTTGTTTGTCGGAAACGATTTTCTTGGACGGAGGTGTTCTTCATGTCTCACCACGCTTGCTGTTCTGTTGGTAAACCCTAAACGTAATTTTAATCCCCAGGCCTGCAAATGCAAATCTCGAGGTTCAATACTTTTGACGCGCGGAAATAAATGCACAAAGAGAAAAATCAATGACTTTTCACGGCCTCTTTTGTTTGACTGCGTGGTTTTTTCACTTTTTCTCGTGCTTTTTCTCGTGTTTTTTCTCGTGCCTTTTCTCTTGTTTTTCCTCGTGCTTTTTCTCGTGCCTTTTCTCGTGCTTTTCCTCGTGCTTTTTCTCGTGCTTTTTCTCGTGCTTTTTCTGGTGCCTTTTCTTATGCTTTTTCTGGTGCTTTTTGTGGTGCCTTTCCTCGTGTTTTTTTTTCATGTTTTTTTTTTTGCTGGTGTTTTTTTCTGTTTTGCTCATGCCTTTTCACGTGCTAATTTTTTGGGGGGTTTGCTTGTGCTGTTGTTCGTGCTTTTTCTGGTGTTTTTTTGTGTGGTTTGCTATTTCTTGTGTGGGTTGCCAAAGAGTTTTTTTTGACGAATTGATTTATTGAGTCTGTCATTGCGTCAGTCTTGAAGATTTGTGCGTTAAATCACCACGGTCTTCTTGGAAATGGAACCTCGTTTTTTTTTTTAAATGTTTTTTTCACTTTTTCTCGTGCTTTTTCTGGTGCCCTTCTGGTGCCCACTGATACAGCGAATGGGCGGTACACAAGTTATACCAATCATAGTGACCAATCATACCAATCAACCTATGTTTTTTTCTTTTTGCGTGAGAGGCAAAAAATGACTAGCCATTGGTTGGTAGCGGCAGGTGGTGGGTCCTCAAGACGGTCTTCCAACCTGGATCGCAGAGATTGTGGTGCAGCGGCGCAACGCCAACGAAGCCTTGGCCCTTTGGCGTTGGGGTTGGATTTGAAACTCAAGCTTTGTGGAAGTTTCTCTGCCCAAATTGACACAAATTCACATTTTTTGTGTGAAAGCAAGGACAACTTGATTCAAAGCCCACTGAAAGTTGAATTGCATGAGATTGAACATAGATTTCGTTAGGGAAATATTGCTATGGCCTTTTTCTAAAGCCCAGAGCATCCTCTAAAGTGTTGTGCTATCCGAGTCGAAGTTTTGAATACACACCAAAGTTGCCAAATTGAAGCCTTAATAGAGAACCAAAGAAGCAAAGAAAGGCGTTTGGAAGTTGACAGCAAGTCTTTGGGCCTGTCCTTTCCCCGTGCAATCCCCCAGACTTCCAGACTTCCCAAGCTGTTGATGCAGTGCAATGGATCCCATACGGCAAACTGAGGCATATCTTCAGAAGATTCAAGACGAGATCAAACCAGACATCCGATGATCAAGGCGAGGAGCTTCGGATTTCAAGGACATCAATTGACTACAAATTTCGACCTGAGTTTGGCCTTGAGGTTTCGACCGGAAAAATGTCAGGAACCCATAGGACCTATCCAACATTTGCTGGGATTCTTGGGGGGGCCATCGGTGAATATTTGGGGTACAACCTATGGTTGGGGTTTTGGCTGGTCAAATCCAATGAAGTTGAGGGCCTGGCATGGATTTTGCTGCGAATTTCATCGAATTTCCCCTCCAGGTTTTCTTCCAAGACTCCGGCATCTTCCATCACGGAGCAATCTTTTGCCATCGATTCAACAGCCAGACTGAGGGGTTTGTGCTGTAAAACTGTGGGTTTGGAGTTGATTGAATCCTGGATCCTGGGATCTCCAGAGAACTCATGTCCTGGGTTGGTAAAAGTGAAAAAGAAGTACCATCTGGTTATTTAACATTGCCATGGAAAATCACCATTTTTAATACGTAGGTAAACCATCTATTTCTATGGGCCATTTTCCATGGCGATGTTAAATAACTAGAGGGCATTAGAGAAAAAGTGTTCAGGGAGATTTTCACCCACATTTCCCCATTGATCACTTCACTGGTCCACTGCCCTTCGTGATGTGGCATCAACATGGCCAGGCCATCGCAACTCCATTGCAGAACTGATCATACAGGTGTTCCTTAAATTCCCACTACTGATGAAAATTCACGGGATAATCCCGTAATATCCCGTACTTTTCTATGCCAAACCAACCCATAAAATCTGTTCCAATTTGGGACATCAAAAGTGTAGCCAAACAGATCCAGGGTGGCTGTCCAAATCCCATATGTTTGCCCGGCTGCCCTTTGTCAAGGGTGCCCGGTCCACCACAGTTCACCAGGGAGTCGGTGGAAAAATGCGCCGACAAAAGTTCTCGGTGAATCGCGGAAACCATGGGACAATGCGCATGTATCACACGGCACATAGGGATTGGAATGACGGTTCTGATTTGGATTTCAAAACGAATGGACCCTGGTCCCAACAGGAAGCTTTACCCACAGTGTCAAACAACATATCCATTCAGGTCAAGTTAGGTTCAGCATTTTGAAGCGTGTCAGCGTTTGCTGGCGGTTGGAGACCACATCCTCAAGAAATGGACAAACTGATGCGCGGTGCTGTGATCTTTTCTGCTGGTGGACGGAAACGTTCCGACATTCTGCTTGGAGAATTGAGTGCAGATATGCTTGTGGAATCTTATGAATCTTATGGAAACTGGTTGGTTATCGAAGGTACATCACATCCCAACAGTTCTATACAATATGCCAAAAATAAAATATAATACAATGATAATATTAATTAATATAAAATACCGTGTATGATACATGATACATGATATATATAATATATGATATATGACATATAAGTTCATATAACATATACTAATTACTATACTATATATACATACACTATGTACTATATATGTATATCTGTATATCTATACTATATTCTATATATCTATAGTCTATAATCTATAATATATCGTCTATCATTTATGATGCATCATATATTATATGTAATATAACATATATGTATATATATATAGTATATACCATCTAATATATTATATACTATTTAATATATAGTATATAATATTTTATATATGATATATAATATATAATATATAATAAATAATATATAATATTTAGTATATGATATATACTATATAATATATAGTGTAGAATATTTATTTATAATATATAATGTATAATATATAAGATAATAATTAATATATGATATATAGTATATATATAATATGATATATTATATTATATATATAATATAATATATGATATATAATATTTAATATATAATTTATGATATACTATATATTATATAATATGTAATATATAATTTAAAATATGTAATATATAATAAACTATAATAAATATAACATATACAATGTATAACATATGATATATAACATATAATATATAACGTTTAATATATGACATATAAAAGATAATAGACAATATTTAATTTACAATATATAACATATACTGTAATATATTTTAACATAAACATATTGTTATATATCTTGATATGTAATATATTATAAGATATTGTAATTTATAATACTCACTATACAATATCTAATATTCATATATAAAATAGTTCAATATACCTGATATATAATATAAAATATGTAACACATAAGACGTAACATAAAACATACAGTAAAAGAAATTATATAATATGTTTTTAATCTTTATATAATATAAACCATTTAATACATGATATATAGTATCTTATGTAAACTATATTGTTAATATATAATATATATATACATAATAGTTTATAATTTTCATGTATTAAACATAGTACATTGTATATATTATATAGTATTTAATTTTTAATATCCCAGCAGTTCTCCAGTCCTGCGAGGTCCACAGTTGCAGGCTCACCCAGCAGCATTGCGATTTCCGGAAGCAGCATCTCCAGCTCCTAAGCTGTGCGAAGGGTAAGGTGTCCTTTGGTCTAAGCTGTACAAATGGGAATACAATTTGTGAACATTTGCAATCAGCTATATATACATATATATGTAATATAACACATATTATGATATATATATATATAGAGATTATGTATACATATAGATAATATATATATATATACGTGTAGATATTCATATATATAGAGAATATGTATACAATGTATAATATGTATACACTATATAAACACACAAAATAAATACGTAATTATTTATACAGATAGATTTTGTTTGAACTCTGGCAAGCTATCTAAAATCAGCAATGAAGATGCCAATCGCAACAATGGCCTTGGGATGAAGAGAATGCAGGCTATATCCCACGACATTTCGAATCATGACGATGAATCATGGTAATGAATCATGATGATGAATGGTGATGATGAATGCTGCTACTGCTGCTGCTGCTGATGATGATGATGATGATGAATGATGATGAACGATTATTGTAGGGTTTCGCGCGCCGGCGATGTCCCAAGGGTTCCGGCTGTTGTTGTAGCTACTGTCGTTGCTGGGACACAAAAAATCGTCACGTTGGCGGTGTTTTGCCATTTTTTGAAGGCCTTCGGTTAAAAAAACTCTGCGAATGCCACTGTTTTTGGCGCTCTTGCAGCTTAATGTCTTCTTCTGCCCCTTCTCATGCCTCTCATCTGACGTGCTCCCCCCTTGCTGTGGGCTGGGGTCGGCGGATAATGATGCTGCTGCTGCTGTTGATGATGTTGATGATGATGATGATGACGACGATGACACTGACGATGATGATCATGATGACGACGACGACGATGAGGATTATGATGGTGGTGATGGTGATGGTGATGATGATGATGATGATGATGATGATGATGGTGAGGGTGATGGTGATGATGAGGATGACGATGACTACGATGATGATGATGATGATGATGATGATCATGATGATCATGATGATCATGATGACGATGAGGATGAGTGATGATGATGATGATGATGATGAATGCATGCATGCATGCATGAATGAATGAATGAATGAATGAATGAATGCATGCATGAATGAATGAATGAATGAATGAATGAATGAACGAATGAATGAAATGAATGAATGAATGAAATGAATGAATGAATGAAATGAAATGAAATGAATTGAAATGAAATGAAATGAATTGAATTGAATGAAATGAATGAATGAATGAATGCATGAATGAATGAAATGAAATGAAATGAAATGAAATGAAATGAAATGAATGAAATGAAATGAATGAAATGAAATGAAATGAAATGAAATGAAATGAAATGAATGAATGAATGAATGAATGAATGAATGAAATGAATGAATGAATGAATTCTTTGTTTTCATAATTATTGAAACAGGACAGGTTACCACCAGCGTGCGCAAAAACAGTGCATCTGTGACCATCTGCTGAATATCAAGTCATAGCAAGTGACAAAAACTCGAGAAAACGAAAAAAACAAAACTGCAGATCCCATGGGCCATCTCCTCAAAGCCTCCAGACATGGGGTATGCAGTTTGTTTTTTTTCTCGAGGTTTTGGCAACCTTTGTCCAAATCTGCCAAGAAGTGTGAAAATATTCTCTCATTAGCGTTGGTGCTCAAGGTCACAGTGACGAGCTCTCTATATGAAGAAGAATATAATTTTGGTTTGTCATTTAATTTCAAGGTGTCATTCTGCTGGAGATTTGAATAGCTACATAAATGAATATAATAGGAAATGTAGAAGAGTAGGTGAGGACGATTACAAGTTTAGAACTCAACACTTTAGCATAATAGATATACTTGAACATTTTGTTATTACATATATTGAACATTTAATAGGTAATGATATGAAATATTGTGATAAAAAACAGTTTGAATGTCAATGATGGTAATGATAGTACCATAAACTAATAATCAGAATACATGATTAGTTTTGTGTTTTCTGGATGCGCTCCGCTCATTTGATTTTGGCAAAAATGGATTTAAAAATCTTTAAAAAGTATGTAGCAATTTTCATATAACATATTTCTTGTAAAAATGTTTTGTAAAAAAATATTTTTGCAATATAAATATATAGGTTTTAACATGAACAAATTTTTAGTAAGGAATATATCAGAACTTAAAAACTAAACGGCAAGAGCATTAATGACAAAACCGCAAAAGTAACAAAAAAAATTGATGAAATTATAGAACTGTTCGCTGAAAGGAACATATCAAATGTGGCAACAGCAGAAAACTACATAAAAGGTTTAACTTATGATGATAAACAAAATATGATAAAATTTTTGAACAAATAAAAGTACAATACAATACAAAAGTTTAAGGAACAAAAACCATTGAATAAAAGAATGGAAGAAACAAAGCCAAAGAACTAGAAACATACATACTTTATCAATTTTGAAGTCTTCACCCTCAGAAAGCCAGTGAATGAAAAAATAACGCAATCTTTTAAATACCCTAAACAACCTTATTACATTGATGGCTTTAATATTGGAACTGCTACAATCACTGTGCCTAGTTTTCCCAGGGACATTATAGGACAAAGAATTTTTAGGTTTGAAACTTTAGAAGACCAATATGAGGGAAAGATAAATCCAAGATTTACTGAAGTAATGGCTCATTAAAGAATGATACAGAATTTGATGAATTAATCAAAACCTTACAAATGCATTACCAAGATAGTATGCTTCATTGTATCAAGATTACATCAGTAGAATTTGTCAATAAGAAGGGCGAAAAATCAATATACTCAATGAACACTTAACTGATGCTATTGATGTATCAATAAACCATTATTATATAGATACACCTTAGAAAATGGAAGCATCAACCATTAAGACAGCAATTGAGAAAAGGTATTAAATAGAGAGTATGTGTTGGGTAAATGCCCTTACTG